AGGCAACCATACATTGATATTTCTCTCTCACTCTTTCTCCTTCCCTTCCCCTCTCTCGAAAAATAAATAAATAAAATATTTTTTTAAAAAAGATTTGCAAGTTTTGCTCAGTCGTGCCAGCAAAGACCTGGAGAATATGTGTGGAAATGGATCTAAGGGTGTTAGAGTAAGGTAGATAGGATATAATTTTGCACCTTGTGAATTTATTGATTTGGGTGCAGTTTCAGGAAAGCCTGTATTTAGCATGTTATCTCATGCAGCTGAATGTGGTTCTACCAGGTTTCTTGGTTGGTTGGCTGAGCGCTGAACTCAGTGGTGGCTTGTGTTTAATGAGATTAAGACGCACCTTGGCTGGTGTGGCTCAGTGGATTGAGTGCTGACCTGCGAACCAAAGGGTCACCAGTTTGATTCCCAGTCAGGGCACATGCCTGGGATGTGGACCAGGTTCCCAGTGAGGGGCGTGTAAGAAGCAACCGCACACTGATGTTTCTTTCCCTCTCTTTCTCCCTCCCTTCCCCTCTCTCTAAAAATAAGTACGTAATCTTTAACAACAATCAAAAATAATATGCAAGAGTGTCTCTAGCATCTACAGAAAGGAATCCAAAGAGCTGGAGGAACACAAGAGTCCCACTCATGGTTTGTAAAGGCAAAAGAGAACTATGCTTGGCCCCGGCCGGATGGATCAGTTAGAGCATCATCCCAATACTGGTACCTGAGACCTGGTGATCCCTGGTCAGGGCACATACAAGCATCAACCAATGAATGCATAAATAAGTGGAACGACAAGTCAGCTCTCTCTTGAAATCAATCAATAAAAATTTATAAAGAGCTCTAGCTGGTGTAGCTCAGTGGATTGAGCACGGGCCTGAGAACCAAAAGATAGTGGTTCGATTCCCAGTCAGGGCACATGCCCGGGTTGCAGGCCAGTTCCTGGCAGGGTTCACACGAGAGGCAACCATACATTGATATTTCTCTCCCTCTCTCCTCTCCCCCTCTAAAGATAAATAAATAAAATCTTTAAAAAATTATATATCTTGAAGGTGTGCAAGGTGATGATTTCATATACGTATACATCGTGAAATATTCATCACAGTTAACGAACACATCAGCTCACAGTTATCTTTTTTATTTTCTTTTTTATCCATGTATCTATCCACTGTTTAAACCAGGGCTTTCAAACTTTGTTGACCATGACGCACAGGAAGACACACATCGAACGTCACAACTCAGTACATACACACCCTCAGACACCCAACTGACATGACAGTTTCCAGAAATGGTATTTAGCTTCATTATGTAGTTACCTTTTCTTGTGTGTGAGAATGCTTAAGGTCTACTCTTGTAGCAAATATCAAGTATACAATACAGTATTTTTTTAATAAAAGAACTTCCATTTTTTTAAGGTTTTTAAATTTTATTTATTTATTTTTAGAGAGAGGGGAAGAGAGGGAGAAAGAGAAACATCAGGTGTGTGGCTGCCTCCTACAGAGAAGCCTGACCCACAACCTGCCCTGATTGGGAATCAAACCAGCAACCTTTTGGTTTACAAACCAATACTCAATACACTGAGCTATACCAGCCAAAGCTACAATCTGCTATTATTAACTACAGTTACCACCTAGCCCATTATTTTAAGGCAATCCAGTTGTTGTACAACTTAATCTCTAAATGAGTATTTATAAAATATGAGGACTTTTAAATGTATATGCAACCGCAATACAATTAACATCTAGAAAAATAAATGATTGCTGTATCATCAAGTAGAACAGGTGGTTATTGAAATAGTATAAAAGAAACCAGCATCCCTCTAAAAGAGTACAACTCTTATGAGAGGGTATAAGAATGTACAAAGTTCAGGTGAAAGGTGTGTCTGGCGGGCCCATTTTTAAAAAATCCCTTGATTTCCTTTACTAGTGAATAGTAACTTTCTCTTTTCACCCTTGGAAAGGGTTTAAAACTCAACTCTTTCTATCCTTTACCCCAGGTGGGACCCAAACCCACAATCCCTGGCTAAGGAGGCCAATGACTTATCCTTTAGGCCACCAGGGCTGACAAGTGAGAGCCTGTAATGATATTATACTAGTCTCTCTTTCCTCTCTTGTGTTTCCCGTGGGTTATATATCGTTCTCTGGTTTTATCCCAGCCTTTCTCGTACCCCTCTATTCCCACATTCGATCCGTATTCCCTCTCAGATCTTTTGCAACATCCTTGGGCTAAAAGAGACTGTGCATGTGCGGACGGAGCCCAAAGACCTGGGATGCAGGCGTTAACTCAGCTGGCTCATTGAATTGGGATACCATCCTCACTTACGGTGCTACAGGTGAGGGGATTAACCCCTGAAGAACCCTTTCCCCCTCCTTTTAGGAGAATCAGGGGCCGGAATAACTAGCAGCAGGAAGGCATTTGTTAATGCAACAGGTAGCATCCGGAGGAGAGGGGCACCAGTGAGACGCTTGAAAAAACTGCAGGTCTTTGTCTCCATCTTACACCCCACACTGCCCCTTAGACCCAAAGTGTTACCTGGGCCCAGGTCTGCACGGTTTTTAGCAGAGCCCAATAGCCTTAGGTCTTTGTCCTCAGGACTCTCCACACCAGCTCTGTATCTTCCCTGCTAGCCCAGTAGGAGAACAGGAGCCTCTCATATCATCAAAGAACCCTGCGTTTACTTTCCTACCATAAGATGGGTGTTCTTTCCCATCTATAAAATGTTTATCTTCATGACGTTTTTCTTCTTTATATTTATGAGCCCTCAATAAACCACTGGAACGTCACCAAATCGGAAAAGAGAAAGTGCTGTTCCACAGGAACCCGGGTCAGCTGCCCCGAGCACCCAGGGTGCAGTCTCCTCGCATTCCCCTGCTGGGGGCAGTTCTCATCCCCTGGGTCATTCACTTAGCCGGAGTCCCTTGGAGAGAATTCGGTTCCGTGGGTAGGGACGTTTTTCCTGGGTAAAAGAATGACTCAATCCTGGGCATACTCTTCATATTTAAATGTTAATATATACATATACACTCACATAGTAATTTAAGGGTACACTCTCAGTGCAAGAAATCGAAATAATGTATTTGATTTTTTTAAACATACTTTTATTGTGATAAATACATATATAATGTTAAATTTGCCATTTTAACCATTTAAAAATGTCTCAATATTGTGCAACCATTACCACTATTTCCAAAGCTTTTTCATCACAACAGTCTCTTACATTTCAGAATGCACCCGAGGGCAACTCCCCTACCCAACCCCCACCCCTAACAGTCCAAACCCTCATCTGTCACAGTTTTCTTCACTTGAACTATATGTCATGTAAACAATTTCCAGTGGACTCCTGGGTCCCTGGGCTTCAAGGTCTGCAGTGATCTCGGCTTCTTCCCACCAGCGTGAGTCCCCGGGGTGCCCTGAGCGTCAGGTCCTAGACCAGGGTAGGGAGCTGTCCAGAGAGGGGGAAAATTTTAAGAAGAGGGGGAAAAACCAACCTCAACAGCGACCACGAAGGGACTTGAACCCTCAATCTTCTGATCCGGAATCAGACGCCTTATCCATTAGGCCACGCGGCCCTGTGAAAAAAGCATTGTACAGCTTTTTCCATGAAGCTTGTCTAGGCGCCTGCGCGGTATGCATTAATGTGGATTCTCCGAGTGGATAGGAGCTCTGCTCCCCTACGCCCTTCGAGCTTCCCTGTGGGCGGGGCTTGGAGCTGGGCTCCTCCATTCAATTTAGCTCAGCCGGCAGTCCTGTTGTTGTGAATTCGAGACCTGGTCTGGCCTACGCTGCCACTCCTGCCTGGGGAGGTCCCTTCCGATCTCCTTCCCTACGATCTCCCAGCCCGCGGTGGGTCAGAAGGTGCCCCCTGCTCCTGCCATCACTGTGCTTTCCCCATCACGGCGCCGCAAAACCTGCAATGCTTTGCTCCGGAGCTGTGGCCCCAAACTGGACTGTGACAGTCGTGAAGGCAGAGCCCAAGTCTTCTGCTTTTCTACCGCTTGGCATGCAGGTGGGCTGGGAGAGAGATATGTACCCAAAGCTGCCCTTTCCCAGGACATCCAGCCCAGCCTAGCCCATTCTGGGTTCGTCTGGGATGCTGCCCACCCTCCCCCCGCCCCCATTTCCCCGCAGGCCCAGCATCTGGTTCCTAGAGACAAATGTGCCTTTACAAAGTGCCAGGCATGTTGTATATGTTCTTTCACTTACTGTCCCAACCCCCTGAAAGCAGGCACTACTCACGTATGCAGCGATCAACAGAGGTTTATTGCATGTCAGCTGCGCCCAGCACCCTGCTGTGATGCCCCTTTTATAGGTAAAGTAACCGAGAAGTGGGTGGGGTCCGTGGTGGCACTGGGGTATAGCCACCCACTGTCAGCACCGACTGGGTAGCTGCAGGCAGAGCCGGTGCCTCAGCGAGCTGCGGATCTCCAGGCAGGCTTTTCGGTGCTCATCACAGTTAGGACCCAGCACATCCAGCTCACACACCTGACGATTGACCTGCAAGGACCACACTCAGCCTGTGCCGTGTTTTCTGGTGCCCAGCCTGGCACCCAGTGCATTGTAAGGAAAGCTGCCTTGGTATTGTTGGGCCACACAGGGCCCAAAAGGACTAGCCATGAGTCCCCCTGCTCTTGTGAGGTATGCCCCACACCCAGCACGACAGGCTCCCCACCCAGCCAGCTCTCCCTCCAGCCGTACAGACCACACTCCACACCAGCCTCAATCTGAGGGGCTTCAGTTCCCTGCCAACCTGCAAAACTATTCAAACAAGCCAATCATCTCTTCCTGAAGGAAACAGGGAATACACCACCCCCTTCCTATAAGGCCCTGCTGGGGCACTCTGTGTTTCAGTGCAACCCTGAGCGTCCTTGTCTGGTGTGCAGGGCCCTCTCCCCAGGCTGTGAGTGCGTGACTAACAACTGCTGTGGGCATCGTGTGTTCGGCTGAGGAGAAGGATGCCATCCAGCCTCTCCTCCCTGTGGCCAGCCTGCATCCCCCAACACACCTCTGTCAGCAGCTCCAGAAGGTCTCCCCCGGGGGCAGCTCTGAGGACCTCCACCAGCATCTGGATGAAGTCTGAACCCTTCTCATCCCGATAAGCTACATAGCCTAGGCCAGGGGACCAGGGCCAGAGCGTCAGATTGGCCGACCAGCTGCCCTCCAACCCTCAGGGGCCAACTGATAGTAGAAGTGGGGGCAAGTAGACAGGACCCCAAGGCAAGGGAATGGGGCAGGGAGTAGGAATTTCTTGTTTCTAAATTAAGTTGTTGCGTGATATTTATGCAGTGAATACATATTCACTGTGAACACACAATGTACTGGGCACTGGGCAGGGCCCTGTACAGGCAGAAGTGCCCCGCCCTCATGAAACTTTCAGCCTGGAGGGAAAGATGCAGGTATAGCGCGTGGCATATCAGCCAGCAATGCACGCTCACCAGCATTACTATTATTATAAATAATAAACATAACAGGAAAACGGCCTAATTGCAACCAGATAGGTACCCTTGTGCCACAAGTGCCAAGCCCCAGTTGCCACCAAAGCCACTCCAGACCTCCAGCCAGGCTGCTAGGCCCTGTCTCACGGGGCTTCCGGATGGCCACCCCCTTACCCTCGGCAGCTGCATAGACCACTAGGGCGTCTGCTTGGTCACGGCTCCCTGGGGCTCGGCCCCTGAAGCTGCTGCCTGAAAGAGGGATCAAGCCCATTTACCCCACATCCCCGAACTCCACCAGCCCCAGGTTCTCCCTGAATCTGGCTCAAGGGCAGCACAAGGCAGTGGAAATAGTGCAGAGCAGGGAAGAGACACCAGAGTTCGAATTTCAGCCCTGCCACTTACCAGCTCAGTGACCTCAGAAAAGCTATTTTGCCTTCCTGACTCCAGGGTTGTTTCAAGGTTCAATTAGGGGAGAAGCCCTTGATTTTCAAGGTCCCTTGTGGTTTAAGATGGTTTTTCTTCCCATCCTCTTGTCAAAGTGGGGACAGAGGTGGCAGGAGGACCCAAGCTCAGAGCCCTGGAAATGTGCTCTGGATAGACAGCTCTGCCCAGCAGGCCCTGCCCAAGCCATGCTCCAGAAGGAAGGCAGACCCACCTCGGACATCTGCATAGACCTGGAGGACATCAGCGTGGGAGGGGGTGGCTGGTGCTGCCCACAGCCAGCGCCTGAACCAGGGGAGAGCAGTGCGCCCCATGCCAGCATCCCTGTGTCCTGGGAAAGGAGAGGACAGGCAGGTCCTTTCATTCAGCAGATACCTGGGGGGCCTCCGGGGGTCCAGCCCCCAGCCCCCAGAACTCTAGGCAGGCCTACCAGGTTGGAAACATTCTGAGCACAAAATGATAAATGCTGAGGGTGAAATGCTCAAGTTCATAGACTTGACCTCTAGGAGACACTGGAAGAGGGGGCAGGAAAAGGGCTAGTACTCAGGCTTCTGAGAGGAGGTGGGCCAGCTGAGGAAATTTAGGGCAGGATGAGCCAGGCTGGAGGCCAGAACCCGGCTGAGACTCCAGGGAGGGCCCCAGACACCACTCACTACCGCGGCAAGCCTGAAGCAAGAAGATCTTGGGGCAGCCCCGCAGGGCCCTGCAGCGGCTCAGCTCCCGCACAAACACTTCTGGCTGTACCTCTTGCCCATCGGCCCCCAGCAGCTGCCCCTGAGGCCCCCCATGAGCCATCAGGGCCACAAGGGCACAGCTCACAGGGCTCCTGTGGGTGTCCAGCCGCTCCTGGAATTGGACCAGCTCTTCCTGGAAAGCCTGACATAGGAACAAGATTGAGGCCTGGGCTATAGCCACTGCCCCTCCAGTTCCTGGGGGCCCTCCAGGTAGGCTTCTCCAGCCCCCACTCGCCCTTCCTTCCACCTCCTGCCAGCCTCCGGACCAGGAAGGAAGTCCTTCCAACCCCTGGTGCAAAGCCTGGCATGGCCTCATTGGAGGTAACATGTGGTAGGTTCTGCAACTGGTTCCCTGGCACCAAAAAGTTAAGAGGCCTGAGGGGAGGGCCGTGAGTTGGTGGGTTTTTGGGAAGGAAACTGAGATCCTTCCAGGAAAAGCCTGAGGGTCCAACTGGGGCCTTGAGCAGGATGGCAGAGAAACAGCCAGCCGGAGAAGCCACAGGAGCCCTGGAGACGGGGCTTCCAGAGGCAGGGGAGTGGATTCCCAATGCATGTAGCAGGGAGGATGGAGGCTAGACTTGGGGGTCACTTCCTGCCCACCGTGGCGAGAGGCCCACTAGAGAGTCCCCAGGGCCCTGGGGTCGGGACACTTTTTTTGTGAGCACCACCAGAGGTTCAGCGCTTCCGCTCACCTGAGCTGTAGGGTCTGTCCTCAGGGTGGTCTCAAAGCCCAGAGCCTGGCACAGGCCCCCCAGGGCATCCACATCGTGCTGGGCCCCAGGCCGGTCCCGGATCACAGCAAGGAGGAGGGCAGCCCTGTCCCCAGACATGTCATACTGAGCGCTGGGGCTGGGTTCTGGCTACGAACAAGTTAAGGTGCATCGAAAGTGGTCTGAGGACCTTACATCTCCTTGCCGCCCCCCGGCGAGGGTCTCCCTGAGCCTGTCCCACTTGTCACTGCTGCCACAGGGTGGGACACTCTCTCCTGCCTCCTTACCTCAGGCCGCCAGGGCTCCACGTTCCCCAGGCACAGTGTCCCCCGCAAGGAGCTCCGAAGGACTGGGCAGTAGACGACCCCCGAGGACTCTTCGGCTGTCCTGGAGAAGACCTGGCGAGGACGGAGCCAGAGGACCCTCATGGGGCCGTCCCATGGGAGCATGGTAGGGAGAGAACAGGAACCCTGGCTCCAGGGAATGACTCGGCCAGTCCCGTAGCTACTACGGTCTCTTTGGGGTCCCCTGCCATCAAAGGGACAAGAAAACAAATGAAGGAGGAGGAGGGTACAGGGGGCTTCTATTTCAGGTTCAAGATCATAAGCTCTCTGGACATGGACTATACAGTGTCCATACCACTGACTGCCACCTTTCAGGGGAAGGCACCAGTCTGGGGCGGGCTGAAGAGCAGAGCCAGGGTCCTGCGGGTCCCAGTTCTCACCTGCAGGACTACCCGGGGCCACTCAACCATCCAGTGAGAACTTTGGGTGTTGAAACCAGACCCAAATCACTCCCAATGCTGCCCTCCAGGGACCTGCAGTCTGATGGAACAGTCAGTGCCTGGACGAGGCAAACCGGTCTGGGCAGAGGTATGAGCCTTGACTCGGGGAGTTGCGAAGAAGGCTATCACTGACATTCTGGGGCTGCACGAGGCTGACAGGGACGACTAGGAGGCATGGCCAGCAGACGGAGGAGCTGGGGCAAAGGCATGGAGATGTGAAGATGTTGGAGTGTCTGGGGGATCCTGAGTGGGTGTAAGGAGGGGCGTGGGCGGGGGCTGAAAGGCAAGGCCGCAAGTCTGACACCACCGGTATAGACAACGAATTGCACAATGGTGTCATAGAATAAATGGATGGCAAGCATGTGAATGAATCTGTGTAACAGGCTCCAGGGAAGCAACTGGCACAGTCCCTTCCCTGAGACTCCCCATCTGGGGCCCCACCTCTGTCAGCAGCTGCAGCAGCGACCAGTGAGGGCAGTGGCCACAGAGTTCACACAGGCTAGTGAGGAAGGCTCCGGGCTCGGGGGCAGCTGGGTGGAAAAGTACAGCGTTGGCCTGGGGACAGAGGCTCGGCCTCCTGCCCACACACCCCTGATCTGCCCTGCCCCACGATGAGGGTCCCAGGCCAGCCACTCACCCCCAGGAGCACTCGAGAGCAAGAAGAAGACTTTGGGGCAGCCCCGCAGGGCCTCACAACCACTCAGCTCCCGAACCAACTTCTGTGGCTGCCTCAGCTGCCCACCGGGGGCCACCAAGGCCACTAGGATACAGCCCAGAGGGCCCCCATGGGCAACCAGCTGTTCCCGGAACCCAGTCAGCTCCTCAAGGAAGTCCTAGGGCAAAAATGAAGGGCAGGCCTGGGTCTGGGGAGGCCCCGCGTGGGGCTGAGAGTGCAGGCGGTAGGAAAGCTAGGACTCACCTGGGCTGAGGCCTCCCTCCTCCAGCAGCTCTCAAAGCCCAGGGTCTGGAACACACCCTCCAGGACAGCCACTGCAGAAGCCGATACCTCAGGGCTGCGGAGTGTCAGGGCCACCCTTGGACCCTGCACGCTGTACTTCCCCTGGGGAGAGGCAAAGCCAAAGTTGGGCTTGTGGGGCTCAGCTGGGAGCCAGGAGTGGGTTGGGCCAGGCGGTACCTCCTCCTACCTTTCTTCCTAGGCTGTCTTGAGCATCTGCCACTTGCGCAGCCACCCGCAGTGCCCCAGACACCAGGAAGGCCATGGTTGCCAGGTGGGTGCTTCCTCCAAGTGCAGAGCTCACCCAGTGCCTTGGATCCCAACCCTTGCCTTCTCCCTGATCTCTGACCTATCAGCTGCTTATGAGCTGAGCCAGACTTTGTCCCCTTCCTTGGAACCTTTGGGTCCCGGGCCCCACTCCTTGCTCTGTTCCTTGGGTGCAGCAGTCTGCTTCCTGGCTGGTACTGACATTCGCCTGCCTGCCCAGGAGCCAGTGACCAATCCTATTCTTAGCTCCTGGGCCACCTCTTATCTGATCTCATTACACCCCAGCATCTCCCTTCTGAGCCAACAATCAGCATCAAGAAAAGCTTTGCCCTGTTCCTGCCACCTGTCACCCCTACTCATTCACGCAAGGTGCTCACAGACATGTACACAGCGACCTCAAGCATTAAGGACAGGGAGTGAAGCGTACTGTCCCAGAGGGGAAAACCCTAACTGGAGTCAGCTGTCCATGATAAGACCCCAGTTGCTTCATCTGAGAGGTGGGTTCTGTCCCAGCAACCTCAGGGGGAAGCAAGTACTTAATTGGGGGGGAGTGGGGCTGGCTGAGGAAAGGCCTGGGGGGCAGAGAGGGTGGCACACAGACCAGGGAACAAAACATTTTGTCTCCAGCAGCCCCACCACTCCTCAGGTGAGTCTGCTGAGACCACTACCAGTAGGGGTGGAAGAAGCTCTGACATGAGTGGTCAGCGGGCAGTGCGGGAACAGGGGCCACTGACTCAGCAGGCCTCTTCCTAATGGATTCGAGCACACCACCACCCTGACCAGTCACCCTGTCTCCAAGCCTTTTTCCTCATTCACCAATGAGGAGGAAGTGGGTGGCCTGGAAAAGACCCCCAGGCCCCACTCAGCTGGGACAGGGAGCTGTCCCTGGCTAACGCGGGATTAGTCCCAAGGCTCGTGGCTGCCCTTTGGGCCCCACCCGGTAGCTGCCCCAGGACGACCAGGTCAAGAGACCAAGGGGTACAGAGTCTAGGTTCCCCCACCCAGCTAAGAGAACAGCCTGGAGGAAGCTTTAAAATTGTTTATTTTTGAGAAGAGAAGGGAGAGAGAAAGATATTACTGTATGCCCAGCCAACTGAGCCACACCAGCCAGGGCAGTGTTCCACATTTATCCGAATCTTTTTGCTACCCTTTTGAGGAAGGCTGGGCCAGCTCCTCTGGAGAACCCGTGCTTGTCCCTGTGATCTGCCCACAATGCAGACGTGGAATGCAGTGCCTGAGGGGTCAGTGACACAGCACTGACGGAGTGCTAGTGTGAAGTGCCATACCTCCGTGTCTCTGGAGGTGAGCGTGGGAGCAGAGGGTTTCCACTGGCCTGTTCATTCTGCACAGGAAGCCTCCAGTCTCTAGAGCCACCTCTCAAGGGGGAAATGGGTGGAGATCAGTGCCGGCAACTTCCGTGTCGCCAGGACAGGGCAGAGTGGTCATGGCCTGGAAATAGGAGGGGGTAGAGGCCAGAGAGCCCTTCAGGCCCCACCCAGGACCTGGATCCACAGGTCTGGGACAGCCTCCTAGAGCCTGTCAGCACCTTAGTGGTCAAAACTTGTCCTCCACCCCCGCAGGAAGGCACAGGTTAGGAGGGCGGAGGGCCTGGCCCATAGACCCAGCCAAGAAGGTGGGCAACAAAGAGCCACGGGGCAAGCAAGGTTGAGGGGAGTCTCTTGGATAGAGGACCCCAGGCCCTGGCGGAGTTTTCACACTTCCCTGCGGCCTCAGCCTTTCTCCCATACTGAGGCCCCTTGCTAGGAATGTGCTGGGGCTCTAGAAGGCCAAAGGGCAAGAGAAATCCCCAGGACGGAAGAATGGCCACGAGGTCACAGGGAATTTCCATTACTTGGGAGTGATGACCATTTCCATACTTGGGGCAGAGCGGGGGGCGGGCAGCGGGGGTTGTGACTGCAGGAGGTGGCTGCAGAGGGAAGTGGCCATCCTGCTACTCCGCCTCCCGGAAGATCCCTCCAGCCCTTACCCCACCCCTCACCCCACGGGTTGGGCCATTTTGGCATGCAGGCTCTGGTGGGCAATGAGGTGGGCGCGCTGCTTGAAGCTCTTGTCACACTCGCCGCAGCCGAAGGGCCGCTCGCCCGTGTGCACGCGCCGGTGGTCCAGCAGGTAGGAGCGCAGCGAGAAGCTCTTGCCGCAGTCACTGCAGCCAAAGGGCTTCTCGCCCGTGTGGATGCGCTGGTGGTCCGCCAGGTAGGCACTGCGGCTGAAGCTCTTGCCGCACGAGGAGCAGGAAAAGGGCTTCTGTCCGGTGTGCACGCCCTGGTGGCGCACCAGGTCCGAGGAGCTGCGGAAGCTCTTTTCGCACTCCTGGCACTTGTGCGGCTTCTCGCCGGTGTGCGTACGTTGGTGGCGCGCCAGGTCTGAGCCCCAGCGGAAGCGCTTGCCGCACTGGCCACAGCTGTGTGGCTTCTCCGCTGCCAGGTCCCGAAACTGGCGCCTGCGTGTGGGCGGCCGCCCCCGCCTGGACCCCGCCACCGGCTCCAAGGGCACCCCTGGCCGGGCCTCTCTCTCCCAGGACTCGGCCTCCTCAGCGCCCCAGGCCACAGTCACATCGTTGTCAGCCTGGCCTGGGAGCACCCTCACCGCCGCCTCCAGCCGGGATGGCCCCCTTTGGCTCTTGAGCCCCAAACCTGCAAGTGGAGAGGAGGCGGCCTCTTCAGTCCTGTCTGGTCAGGGCTCAGGGCTGAGGCAAGGCAGGAACAGACTCAGTGACAAGCACTTGGCTGTCAGGTTCAGAAAGTCCTAGGCGGGACTGGATGCAAGCTTCAGTTTCCTCGTCCATAAAATGGGACATGATGAAAGGCTGGCAGAGAAGCTATGCAGAGGCAGAAGGCAGAGGCAAGGAGTCTGCTTATTCTGCCCCAGTGGCACTTACTAATTATGCAACTAACCAATCTATACCTCCCTTCCACACGGGGGTCCAACGCCCCACTCTCTAAACCCGGCTATTCAAACTCTGAAACTGAACAGATGAAGGTAAAGTTCTTAAATGGTCCAAACTCCTCTCACTACTCGTTACCAGAAACTGAGGAACCACATGGGTTCAGCTACTGTGGTTTCTCTCACTACACCAGCTCTCGTCTTGTTGACTCGAGAATAGAGGTGCATCCACAGGGATCCCGACCCACACCCTTGAGTGGCTGAGAATTAAATGAGGGACCCCCAGGAAGCAGAAAGGCCCTGGCTTGGAGAGGGACCTCTACTGCACTGGGCCCAGGCCTCAGCGCACAGTATGTACAGTATGTACGTTCACTGTCAGCACCTCTTCACAGGGCAGCCTGAGGGGCCTGCGACCACCGTTTGGACTGAGTCCCAGCTCTGTCCCTTTGGTGTCCGTTGATCTGAGTTTCGGGTCCTTTGTCTATAAAACAAGGACAACACTTATGCACCAGTCTGTGAGAATCACCTGACAAAATGTTCATATGAATGCTCAGCAGAGCGCTAGCTTGTTGTGAGCACCCATCATGTTTTAATATATGTTCACAGCCAAAGAAAAATGAATATTAACACACAAAAAAGAAACTAGCCAGGGCTCTTGGAGAGAGCTGGCGAAAGCCCACTTTGGAGCCAGCTGAGAGGCAGTGAGGAGGAAGACTGAGGATTGCAGCAGGAGATGCTGAGGCATGTGGCCGGCCTGGGCCCCCGCTCTGCTGCTAGGACTGCCCTAGGAGGCTGCTGCCTCCAGCTCAAAGGAGCCAAGCATCCCAATGGTCCTGGCTGCACCTACGGCTTACCCAGGGCAACGTTCCGGGAGTTTTCCCGCTTTATGTCCCAGAAAAGATCCCGCTGAGCAGGGTCCAGGGACCCCCATTCTTCCTGGGAGAAATAGAAGGGAATATCTCCAAATGTCACAGGTCCCTGAAATGAGGAGAGAAACCCTACTCAGGGATACCTCACTCAGGACTCCCCAGGCAGCCACGGGTGGGGAAAGGAAGAGGGTTGGGATGTGGAACAGGAGGGAGCAGGGTGGATGGAAGAGGCTTCAAGAAGGAACGTGCCAATGGCCTCAAAGGGAACGAAGGGACTGGTAACTCACATGGATCTCAGAGGCAAGGCAGGCATTTGTTTTCTGTTTGGTACTCCCCTCTTTAAGAGCAGGAAGCTGGACTGAAAGAAAACAAGCCTCAGAGAGGCCGGCTGAAGCCAGGAATGAGAAACCCCACACACTTCTGTGCACGTGCAGGCACACACACGCACACACATGCCTAAGATTCAAGGAACAAGTACCTTCCTGCTGCGCCTGGGGTGATACCCGGGAAGGAGCCAGACCCCTGCCAAGCTGCTCTGCAGCCTACAAGCTTACTCACCACCATGGCTGTGCTGCTCCCAAGGTACAGGTGGCTGCTTCTGTGCTCCCACCTTTGGGGGAGGTGCCTTGGCCTGGGACCCCTGGACTGCAGCCTCAGGTTCTATCTCCTCTGTGGGCACATCCTGTGCAGGAACCACAATATGCTCATCAGCACCGAGACCAGACAGGGGAGACAGAATTTAATCGCTGGGAAGGAGACACAGGACATATCCCTCAGGAGGCTGGGGTTTGGGGTGAGATCAATACGGGGCCCCGGGAAAGCCCAGAGGAAAATGGGATACCAGGCACTGCAGTGTGTCCTGATCAAGCACAAGGCAAGAACTAGCACCCAAAGGATAGAACCACAGAGCCATTTAGCAAGGGAGAATGGGGGGGAGACCCTCCTGTGAAGGGCAGAACCTCACACCCCAGTCATCCATTAGCACATCCCCCGATGCTTCCAGAGTCAAGGACCCAATACCCCACAAGACAGTAGGGTTCACATGGACAGCTCTACCTTCTCATGCCCCCTCTGGTGCTCTCACTATGCACATCACTGTATCCCCAGTGCCTGGCCTAGAGTAGAACATGAATAAACAATTTGCAGAGCCTATGTGGAGCTAAAACATGCCTTCCTGGAACATGCCCACTTTGGTCTTGTTCTGCCCTCCAAAGTCACCAAAAAGAAACCAGACTCATTTGGACAGTGCCTTTCAGACAGGCAACACCTGCCTATGAATGCTCCCTCTGGCTCTCAGTGCCCACCACCCCTGGCAGACTCAAATGGGAGGCGCCCCTCACCTGTGGCCATGCTTTCACTGGCTGCTTCTGCAGGTCCTCCACCAAGGCAACAGCTTCCTCACCACTCCCTGGGCACCGCTCCCGCACCCAGTCCTGGACACTCCCAGGCAGCACACTCAGGAACTGCTCCAGCACAAGCAGCTCCAAGATTTGCTCCTTGGTGCGAAGCTCAGGTCGCAGCCAGCGGCAGCAGAGCTCCCACAGCTGGCTGAAGGCCTCATGGGGCCCACCCACATCCCTGTAGCAGAATTGCCGGAAGCGCTGGCGGCAGGCCTCAGAATCCCTGCCATCCTCTTGCTGGGCAGAGTCCTGATCCCAGGAGGAATCTTCCACCTTCACAATGAGAAGCCCTTCTCCCTCCCCTGGGGCCTGGTCCTGAGGCTCCATGGGGGCTGCCATTCCCCTGGCCTAAGGCTCAGGGTTGCTGGGCCTCAACCCAGGAGCCTGCCCTTCAGTGTCCCAGAGGGATTTCCTGTGGCAGCTGGGCCAGCATCTGGACTCCTAAGGAAAGAGCAAAATAGCAGGAGCAGGGGAGGTACAGAAGCAAACACCAGCCTGGAGAGACATCCAGGGACTCTGGCTTCTATCCTTTACTGGCCCTACGGCCTTTTTTAGGCTCTCCAGTAATGTCTTGTTTGTGTGACAGTCTCCCACCAATACAGGCTCACAGCCCCTTATCCTCAGCTCTGAAATCCCAAACTCCCAGGTTTTTACCATCTGGTCTACTGATAGGAGCAAGTTTTTAATCTCCATTTATCACACTTAAGTGTTATGTTTTATGGCATAAATATTAATGTATTTGTTGTTTGTAAAAATTTATCAAATTTATCCTTACTATGTATATTTCTGTATGTGTATTGTACTTCAATAAAAAAAATTAACATGTTTGATTGTTGACCATTGCCCTAGATTCTGTTGGCAGGGGTTACCCAATATACCACATGTACTGTATTATCTTTCTCAAATTTGAAAACTTTTTTTTTCAATTGAATTTATTGTGGTGACATTGGTTAATAAAATTATACAAGCTTCAGGTACACAATTCTACACCATCTGTATAATGTTTACCAACCCAAGTCTCCTGCCATCACCATCTGTTCCCCCCTTTACCTTCTTCTACCTGCTTCCACCACTCCCCTCCCCCTTCGCTCCAGCATTCATCATACAGCAGTCTAGTCCAGGAGTCTTTCTTTTTTATCTCTGCTTAATCCTTTTGCTCTTCTCACCCAGCTCCCAACCCCCTCTCCTCTGACAGCTGTCAGTCTGTTCTCTGTACCCTTGAGTCACAAATTGAAAAACCTTTGAATTCCAATCACATGTGGCCCAGGGGTGTTGGAGATGGGTTCACAGGCACCAGGCACCTTCCTAAGCCATTTTTAGCCACGGGTGCATGTGAATGTGTGACATATTTATACCTTATATTGCCACTCTTCACAAAAGTCCTGAAACGTGTGTATTTTGGAACTTTGTTTTTTTGTTTCTATAAAGAAGTGACACAAACCACTGTAGTTAAAATGGGGGGATTTTCACAATGCAGAAATACATAAAAGAGAAACTCTCCATTCCACAATGCTGTGCACCCTCCCGTTAACAATCTGACATTTGAACTCTCAGGCCTTTCCCTGTGCACTTACTAAAAGTGTACCTATAGAAATGAAAAAGAAAAGGTGTTTTCGTGTTTTCACATAAATGAGGTCTTATTGCACAAACTATTTTGAAATATGCTTTCCCACCTACAATGCTTCTTCATTAGCTGCTCTAGAAGACTTGGCGGTTTGGATGTATTCCAGTTTTCTGAACCAATACCCGAGTAAGGCATTCAGGTTGGTTCCAGTCCTTTTCTCGACTGCACACTAAGCACTTTGTTCTTTTTCCTTTTTTTAATTTTTATTGATTTTACAGAGGAAGAGAGAGGGGGAGGTAGAGAGATAGAGATAAAGAGAGAGAGAAACATGTATTTGTTGTTCCACTTATTTACGCATTCATTGGTTGCTTCTTATTTGTGCCTTAACTGGGGATCAAACCTGCAACCGCGAGGTACCCGGACGACGCTCTAACCAACTGAGCTATCCAGCCAGGGCAAGTACTTTATTTTTGTACTCTTCACAACACCCCTCCAAGGTACGCGCTCCATTCTCATCCTCTAGTGACGGAGGACGCTCCGCTCAAAGAGGGCCAGGGACTCACCAGGGTCGCTCGGCAGGACGCGGCAGGCGGAAAGGCGGACCCGGCAGGAGCCCTGTGCTCGGTCCGCAGCAGCTTCGCCTGCGCGGAGCTGAGAGGCGGCGGGGCAGGGAGGGGTACATACGCCCCGGCTTCCCGCAGCACTTTTCAGCGGTGCGCCCCACTCCGGCCTCTGCCTGGAGGCGCGGACCCCACCCACCCGAAAACCCGTTCTCGACCTCGGCGTCCCTAGGCCCTTATCAACGGTCCCGCCCCCGAGCCTCACACCTCCCACAGCCGCCCAGGCGTTCCCAGTTCCGCCGTCAGATTCGGTACCGGAAGTTAGCGCGGAGCTCTCCGGGAAAAGTCATAGCGCATGCGCCACTCTAAGCACTCGGAACTACATCCCCCAAGAAGCCGTTCTCCCATTGAGCTAATGTTAAACCTTGATAGATGGCCAATGAACTTGGAAGAATTTACAAGGTTGACCAATCAGAAGGCATTGGTACCAAGCGCGACAACACCTCTGCCCGTGGGATGTGATCTGCTTCTAGATTCCTGCTGTAATCGTTCTTGGTTTACCCTTCAGGTTTTTCTGCTGCTCTGACTCGTTGAGCAGGGGAAAATGCAGCCTGGTGAGGAGCACGGAGCCTCCTGTGGTTACTCTCCGTCCCCGAGCGTGAGCCGGGGTTGCTCAGCAGAGTTTTCTACAGGCGGGTACTCTTGACACCAGGGAGTCCCGCGCTCTCCCACCAGCAACTCTGGAGCGGAGGGAGTCCCCGGGCCGGACTGAATCTAGAGCCGGCGAGCTGTGTCCGGAAGTTCTGGGTTCAACTGCCCACATATTTGGGACCTGCTGCCACTCTTTCTACTTACTCTACCTGGAGATCTGAGGCTCCAGATACTTTTCTGAAATAGAAAAAGCTTTATGTTGATTATGCAAGCACTGCATACTTAGTGTGGAAATTAATAAAATATGGAAAATTATAAAGGTATCAATATTCACAAGGCTAGGTTCCCCACTCTGCTCAAACGTCACTCCCTCAAAGTGTCTTTCCCTAACTAAACAGCACATACATACCCGCCATCGCTCTGCCCTTATTTTTCTTTCTTTTATCAGTACCTGACATTTTTGTAATATTCATCTCTTACTACTCAACTAAGCTCCATGAAGTCACACTGTTTTCATTGCCCTATTCCCAACACCTAGAATTGTTTCTGGCACAATATCTGTTGAATAACTGAAGTTTTAAAATACTTCTAATAAGGCCATTCAGAAATAAGCACTCAATATTTTAGTCTGTTCTGCATCTATGAATATTTCCTCTTTAAAGAATAGATTTTGTTTATTTTTAGAGAGGAAGAAAGGGAGAAAGAGGGAGAGAAATGACCAGCTGCCTCCAGCACCCCCAACTGGGGGCTTGGCCCACAACCCAGGCATGTGCCCATATCAGGAATCCAACTGGTAACCCCTGGGTTTGTAGGAGGACCCCCAACCCACTAAGCCACACCAGCCAGGACATGAATATTTCTAACATAAATCTGGAATCATTCTATATAAGTAAAGGTTTTTTTCCTTTTTATTGAATCTTTGGGGTGACACTGGTTAACAAAATCAAGTCTCCTTCCATCATCACCATTTATCTCCTTTACACCCTCCTCCACATAGTAAAGTTTTGTTGACTCAGTCTATCAGGGATATTTTTCCATATCAACATTTATAAATAAAAGAATTAATCTGTTTCACAAGCTGCATAGTATCCCATAGCATGGGAGTTCCATATTTTATTTAAAGCCCCTTACTCTTAGATATTTAGTTTCCACTTTTCTATATTTCTACATACCCCTTGATGCATTTGCTCAAGAAACTTGCTGGAGGGTATGAGCCAAGAACAATCTACGAAGTGGATGCTACTGGGCTCCCCCTCCCTTTAACTGCCTCACTGGAAAACCACATGGGAAGAAGGAACTTAAAGTCCCCTTTTACACATGTGGGCCTTACAGTGTTCTTCCAAATCCCTCTGTTGGCAAACACTAACATCAAATTGGCTAGCAAAGGAGAAATGTCTAGAGGACCTGGCCGCCTTCAGTATCACAAAGCAGGACAAAAAGAGAGTTTGGGGGACTGAGAGACAAATTAGTAACTCACACACATACCATATATTCTACTGGGCATTATTGGTAGATGATAATTGTAAACAACATTGAAATTGACAACCTAATTGCAGTTTATTTTCCTCTGATAGTTTTATTTTTCTAGCTAGAAAATATAGCCTATAATTTAAAAAATAAAATTTCTGCCATAAATGTATTTTCACTTCCAGAATTTATTATATTCATTATGGCCTTAGTCTTATAGTATTGTCCAGAACTCCCTAAATAATGTTAGAACAGCAGACATCATTGCCTTGGTTAATGAAAATACTTTTAATGATTTATGATTGTTTATTATTTGCCTCTGATATATAGCCATAATCATATTAAGAAGCACCTATTCTCATTTGTAGCAAAAAGACAACTAGTTCTTCCCCAGTATCAGTTTGCCCCTTCTATAGTAAGAATTTTTTTATGGGTCCTGGCTGGTGTAGCCCAGTGGATTGAGCACAGGCTGCGAACCAAAGGGTCACGGTTCAATTCCCAGTCAGGGCATATGCTGGGTTGTCTGCCCAGCCCCCAGTGGGGGCCATGTGAGAGGCAACCACACATTGACTTTCTCTCCCTCTCTTTCTCCTTCCCTTCTCCTCTCTCTAAAAAAAATATATATATATATTTTAATTTTTTGATGGGCACATGTCCATTCAGAACAAAGAGTATATTTTCCCAGCCTCTCCTGCAGCTAAGTATGGCCATGTAATTAAATTGAAGCCAATGAGATGTGAGCAGACGTGATGCATGAATCTCACTGGAAAGGGATGGGTCATGTCTTGCTAGTCTCTTTTCCCCAACTGCTTGCAGGAATTTAGATGTAGTGCCACGGATCATGCAGATGAGAGTAACACCCAGGGTGTCAAAGCAATGAGACAGAAGGTGCCTGGACTCCTGATGACTATGCAGCCACCCAACTAGCCCTGGATGTAAACCCAGGCAGGTGATGTTAGAAAGAGATATCATGTTTAAGCCACTGTTATTTTGGATCTCTATTACAACCAGAATGTATACCCTGTCTAGCACTACTGCCTACTAAGAGTTCTTTCATTAAAAATGGAAATAGAGCCCTGGCTAGTGTGGCTCAGTGGATTGAGTGCCAGCATGTGAAGCAAGGGGTCACTGGTTCAATTCCCAGTCAGAGCATGTGCCTGGGTAGCGGGCCAGGTCACTAGTAGGAGGTACGCAAAAGGCAACCACACATTGATGTTTCTTTTCCTCACTTTCTTCCCCCCTTCCCCTCTCTCTAAAATAAATAAATAAAATCTTTTTTTTTATACTACAGCTTTTTCTTTTTAACATTTTATTTATTTATATTGAGAAAGGAAGGGAAGGAGAAAGGGTAGGAGAGAAATATCAATGTGTGGTTGCCTCTCATGCGTCCCCTGCTGGTAACTGGCCTGCAACCCAGGCATGTGCCCTGACTGGGAATGGAACTGCAATCGTGTGGTTCGCAGGCCGGCGCTCAATCCACTGAGCTACACCAGACAGAGCAAATAAAATATTTTTAAAAAATAGAAATAGAGCCCTAGCCAGGTGACTCAGTTGGTTGGAGAGTCACCCTGTGCACCAAAAGTCTGCAGGTTCAATCCCCAGTCAAGGCACATACCTAGGCTGCAGGTTCAATCCCCAGTTGGGGTGTGTATGGAAGGCAACCGATTAATGTTTCTCTCTCACATTGAATTTTTTCTCTCTCTTGTTCCTTTCTTCCCTCTTTAAAATCAGTAAACATATCTTCGAGTGAGGATTTAAAAAAACAGAAATAAAAAAATAGATATTTTTATAATGCTCCTTTGGGATATTGAATATTCAGAATTTCTATCTCCTTGACTAAATGTTTTTTTTTGTTTGTTTGACTAAATGTTGATGGTTATTTTTTCCAGGAAATCATCCCTTTCATCTACAATTTGAAACTTATTAATATAAAGTTGTACATAGTACTCCCATTTGATTAAAAAACTTAAGGCTCTGGCCAGGTGGTTGTTAGTTAGAACATTGTCCTGATATATCAAAGTTATGAGTTTGATTTTTGGTCAGGGCACATACAAGAATCAACCAATGAGCCCTGGCTGGTGTGGCTCAGTGGACTGAGTGCCAGCCTGCACTCAAAGGGTCACTGGTTTGATTCCCAGTCAGGGCACATGTCTGGGCTGTGGGCCCGTTCTCCAGTCAGGGGTGTGCAAGAGACAACCACACATCGATGTTTCTCTCCCTCTCTCTCTCTTCCTCTCTCTCTACAAATAAAGAAATAAAAAATCTTTTTAAAAAAGAATCAACCAATGAATGCATAAATAGGTGGAACAACAAATCAATGTGTGTCTCTTTCTCCCTTCTTCTCTCTGAAATTGATAAATTTTTAGAACTTTTAGTTTAAACCCTGGCTGGTGTGGCTTAGTCAGTTGGGCATCGTCCTGCGAATCGAAAGGTCACCAGTTCGATTCCTGGTCAGGGCACCTGCCCAGTCAGGTTCAGTACCCTGAGGTGTGAGTGGAAGGCAACCAATCGATGTTTTTTGCCCTCTCTTTCTCCCTTCCTTACCTTATCTCTGAAATAAAAAATAAAATATACATAAAAAAATCTTAAATTTAAAATCAGCACGTATAAATCCTTGGTTTGCGATCCTGAAGTGGCACTTTTAATGATGCTGCGGCAGGAAGCAGGCTAGGAGCCCGGGTTTCTGTTGGCTGTGTAGATTAGGGCTCCCACACTGGCCCTGCCACAGGCTGCCTACCTCTGGCCCACCTCCACACATTATCTTGAAAAATACACTTGAGTCTTGTTTTAAGACCCTGTTATTTTGGATCTCTGTTATTTGGAGTTGAGCTGAATCCTGACTCACTACCTCATAGGGTTATTATAAAGATTAAATAAAGGAGAGAACACAAGTGGACCACTTATCACAATATTAACTCAACATTCAGTAAGTGCTCGATAAAGAGTGGTTAGCCCCAGAGAATTATCATCACTAGGAACCTGTAATGGGCATGACCACAGGAACATAAGAGTATATGAGAGGCTGCAGGAAATAGGCCCTCTGGGCATTTTCCCACTTTCCCCTCTAGATTACAGTCCAACTTTGGTCTGGTCAGTGCCCTGTTCACTTATATTAACCTTCACGGCTGGCCTGGCGCTTTATTAGTTGAGAACAGAAAAACTGGAGTGCTCCAGGAGTTGCAGGTCAGAGAGCACTGCATTTGGAGCCCAGGCAGGGGCGTGAGCATGAAGGCTGGACCATCCTTATTACCTCCCATTCTCCACTCTCCATGACAGGGTTCACCAACCCCGCAGCGGCGACTGGTACTGGTCGGTGCCTTTAGGATCCAGCAATGAGCAAAAACAGCAGGTGGGGAGTGTGTGAAACTCACCTGAGTGCCCCCCCCCCCGCCCCGCCTCCGTCCATGGAAAAATCGGTCCCTGGTGCCAAAAAGGTTGGGGACCGCTGCTCCATGAGACACCAGAGGGAAACCTCAGGCCACTGCCCCTCACAAGTCTCACCTCTCTAGCTTCCCCTCCCTCCCACCAGGGTTGTCATTTCAACTCATGGAACATCAATCTCTTCCTGGCAGGGCCTTTATTCATTTTGTTTTCCTAGCTTAGAAGGTTCTGCCCTCAAATTCGTGTAAAACGGTATCTCGTCATTCTTTTAAGTCTCAGCTTAAATGTCCCCTTCTTGCCTTCTCTATCAGTTCCTAGAATCCTCCATTGCTTCACCCACCCTTTCTTTCTGGCATTTGTCACTACTTCAAATTAATGTACGTGTCATTTATCTGCTTGCCAGTCTGCACCACTACAGCCAATCCCATGAGGACAAGGTTTTTGTCTGGCTTTTTCATCAGTTATTCCTCAACATTTAGCAAAGAACCTGGAACGCGTTCATTTCGTATTTGAAAAATGAATGAGTGAATGAAGCTATGACCCTGTTTAACGTTTCCACGCCTTTTACCACCCCCTCACCTCGCTCTGGCCTCCTCAGTTTACCCGGCTCCCCCTGAAGACCAGTCTCCCAGGCCATTGTCGCACTCGCGCCCGGCTCTCACTGGCAGCACCGTCGGGCTGTGCTCCGAGCTTGGACCTGTTAGTGCCAGCCAGAGGCGTCGGGACTGGGGCCCGTGCAGAGGTCGGGACTCTCCCTGTACCGCTTACGAGACAGCATCAGGGCCCAAAGTGGCTGCCAGGATCAGGCTCCAGGGGTCTCTGGGACAGCAACGAGATGCTGAGGCTCGTATGAGAAGCCGGTAGTGGCCCCGGCCCTTCTTCAACATCCTGTCTAGGACGGTAGGAGGTTTGGCATCTCTGTGATAGGCCCAGGGCAGGCTCTGGAGGCTGAAAGGTTCACAACGAAGCCCAGAAGTCCCATCCTGGGTCATGGGTTCTTTCTGCAACTGACGCGGGATGAAGGGGGAAGTCAAGAGCCTCCAGACAATAGCCCCATCAACTGCGCAGCTTAGGGGCCTAGCGGGTGGGAACCAAAACTGTCCTCGGAAGTTGTCAGCCGTGATAGGCCAGTTTTAATAGTGCCCGCCTCTTTCCCCGACCTAGACACTTGATTGGCTAAAGGCAGAGGGAGAGGCAGGGCCTTCCAGAACAGGCCCTCCCGGCTAAGACCAACGGGTGTGGAGGGCTCCCGGGGACCCCAAGGGGTTTTCAGACCTCACTGCCTAGCTCGGGAGGAGCTATCCCAGGCAAACGCTGCACTGAAGCTGACACCTCCGCGCTGCGAGGGCTGCGTGACCAGCTGGCCGAGTGTCCTCAGCCAGGATCTGGGATGCGTCTAGGGCTGCACAGGGTAGAGGTCAACCGTGAGTATCCAGGTCGGGTTCGGCAGTGCCCTAAAATTGGTTTGTCAGGTGTGAGAAGCAAGGAGGAAGCAGGCTGGACCTCTAAGCCTCCTCAATCAATACCCAGAAATACCAAGATCCCCAGCCTGCTCTCAGTGGCGCTCCATCAGTTACCAAGAACACCCTTCACCCTGATATTCTAGGCCCTTCCACAATGCCCCAGATACATCCTCAGTCTTAGTTGCTCTTGTGAAATATTTTCCAAACTGCCAAGTTCCACTCTTAAAATGCTCTCTCCTGGTCTGTGCCAGAATGGTGACCTCTGGATACACACCTAGGAAGGAATGGACAGACCTGTGGGTTCTTGAAATCACACCCCTCTGCACCCTGCTGTGAAAAGGGAAAACCATTTCTCCTCCATGCTGTGGTCTCTGAGCTCTTCATAGGCCAGGGTGGAGCTTTTAGATGACTCCTTGGCTCATGTGACAGACCTCTGAGTGGTTCAAGTCCTGACATGCTAGCTGTGAAGCCCAAGGAAGCAAATAGCAACTGCCCGAGTGAATATTCCTTGCTAAGCTTGTGCCAAGTGATGGCAGCTCCTAGTGTTGTTTTAAATCTTCTTCTGCCTCTGTCTCCTTCATTAGAAAACCAGCTCCTGGGGGCAGCAAGCCTGCTTTTTGTGTGAGCCGCATCAGCCCTCACCCTGAGCCAAGCAGAGAAATCCCATTTCTGGCTGTGAGCAGAGCCATGAAGATGAGCAGAAGGGAGGAAACTGCTTTCTTCCTCACCAGCAATTCAACCCTAGATCTCACTGAGACCACCCAGACACCAAGTCCTGCCCTGGCTCCTACTAGTCACCAGCTTCCTGGCTCTCAATGATTACATGCTCCTTGCTCTCCCCATCTCCAGTCAAGTCCAACATGCTAGGAGGTCAAATCTGCTGTCTTACTCTTTTTAGACAGCCCTGCCTCATAATATCATGCATTATTAGACAGTCAATAGTTTTTGGGGTATGTGGAAATAGGGGTATTCTTTACATGGTAAAATTCTTGGCCCTGAACCTCAGCTTCCAGCTTTCTGGTTGTGTGGCTTTGGGAACGTTAATGGTCTTCTCTCCCAGCCTCGGTTTCCTCATCAATAAAACTAGGATAAAATCCACTGCTCAGCGTTGTGGATAGTAGAAATGACATATATGGGGTGGTTGGCCCCAAGCCTGGCAGGACAGCTGCTCAACAACTGGCAGCTATTATTACTATTCTCAGTCTGCCATCCTGTTCAAGCCACTTTGTCCCTTAGGACCTGGAAGCCAACCAGGGCTGCGGCCACCCTGGTGGCTCCATGATCCAGAGACAGGTGGGGTCTCGATGACCTCTGTGATGCACACATCAAGGTCAGAACTGCATGTTATCCTAGAAGCTAAGCTGCAAATCTTGGATAATAAGCAGGTTGAGCCCACCCCTCCCAGGAAAAACAGAGAATAGGAAATAGAAACTACGGAAGTCTAAAACCAGAAGGCCAGGAGTCAAACCACCAGGCATGGCTGGGTATGGGTAGGGCGATTATAAAGGATGTGTGTGAAGAGGCTAAGGAGGGACACTGGTCCCTGGCAAGTGTGGAATTCTCACTGGATCACCAATGGGCCCCAGGAGCAGATGCAAAATGTCCAGCCACAAAACTTGGCTGCAGTGCCTGAACCAGGAGACAGGGCAGGTAGAACACAATAAGTATGAACTCCCAAGCTGGCTCTGCCTCACCCTTGGCTCCCAAAAAGCCAAGGGAGCCAGGGCTCAGTGGGCAATGCCCCTGGGATGAAACTGAGGCAACAGCAGGGCACCCAGAAAGGGGTCCACAATTCCAGAAGTGGTTGGTTAGGTTCAGGTCTTAAAACCTCTATGCTAAGAAGCTTCTACCTGGAGAATTATGATCCCCACTATCTGGACTGGGGTCCAAGCCAAGTCAAGAATGGGGGAAGAGGGTGCCCAAGCCCTGAAAGCGATGACTCAGGGATGCCTTAGTGAGGATATGTCATGGACCCAGGAGCCTCCCACAGTCTGGGGTCATCCACCAGCTCCCCTGACCACCCCATACCTCCCTACCCCCACCCGCCCCAAGACGGAGCAACAGGCCATGGCTTGAATTCCAAGGCCTTTAATTTACAGCTAGCCTGCCTGCTCTTCACCCTAACTCGTTCCCATGTTGCCATGCCCCACCCCATGCCAGCACCTCCCAAACTCCCTTCACTCCTTCTCACTGCCATTCAGCTACCCTTACTCTTCCCCAGCACCTGGCGCCTCCCTCGCGGCCTCCTAGGTGGGAGTAGATGGGGGCGCTGCGAGAGCACCTGCCGCCCCCAGCATCAGCATGGCCAGGGCCTTGGGCCCTGTGGTATGGATCTTTTCATGCCTGTGCAGGTTGGAGCGCCTGCTGAAGCTCTTGCCACAGAGAGGGCAGGAGTAGGGCCGGACACCACGGTGGGTGCGCTGGTGGGCAGTGAGGTGTGAGCTGTGGCTGAAGCTCTTGCCACAGTCAAGGCAGTGATAGGGCTTCTCCCCCGTGTGCGTACGGTTGTGTGCGATGAGGTTGGAGCGCTGGCTGAAGCACTTGCCGCACTCGGGGCACGGGTAGGGCTTGACCCCTGTGTGAGTGCGCTGATGGGTGACCAGGGCTGAGCTCTGTGTGAAGCACTTACTGCAGATGGGACACTTGTGGGGCTTGGCACCTGTGTGCGTGCCCTGGTGGGTGACCAGGTCCGAGCGGCGGGTGAAGCGCTTGGCACAGCGGTCGCACACGTAGGGCTTTTCACCCGTGTGGATGCGCTGGTGCTGGATCAGCGTAGAGTGGTGGCTGAAGCTCTTCCAGCAGGAGGGGCAGGTGTAGGGCTTCTCGCCCGTGTGGATGATCTGGTGCTGGATGAGGTGCGAGCTGCGGCCAAAGCGCTTGCCACAGTCCGTGCAGGCATAGGGTTTCTCACCCGTGTGGGTGCGCCGGTGCGTCACCAGGTGGGAGTGCCAGCTGAAGCCCTTGCCACACTGATCGCACCTGTAGGTCTTCTTGCAGGCGTCGCCGTCAGGGACCGGGCCCTCCCCGCTGCTCTCGGGGGTGCCCGTTCCCCCCTCGCTGGGCCTTTCTGGGAGGCCGCTGTCAGACAGGCCTGGTTCCAGCTGTCTCTCCTCCTGGGGGCCTGGCTGCTCGGCATCTCTGGCCGGCCCCCATCTCTGGCCGGTGGCTGCTTGCTGCGCACACTGCGGGACATCCTCCTGGGCTCTCCCTGCCCTGGTCCTGAAGGACTTCCCATCCCCAGGGACTGCTGGGGATGAGGTCGGCTCTTCCTTTCTCACCTCCGCCATTCCTGGAAAAAGAATTTCCAACCAGAGAGAAGCTTTTGTGAGGGACTCAAGAGAATTCTGGAGATGGAGAAAAGTATAAGGACCTGAGGGGAAGCCGGGAAATGAGAGCCACCGTCTGCAGAGGAGGGAAGGCCAGCCCCTGCCCAGGGAGGGCCGTGTGTCCGCACCCCACGGGAAACAGAGCACTGACAAGGGGCGCCTGGGGCTGACGGTGACAACCCACTGCCTGCCCACCACCTCTGAGTCCACCTCTCTTCTCTTCCTCTCTCACCTGCAGACGCGAACTTGAGGTCTCACCCTTGCCCTGTACTTGGGAGGCCCAGAAAGTTCCGCTTAAAGGAAACCCTGGCCAAAAAGAGATGCAGTGCTCAGTGACAGAGCTCCTGGGCTGCCCGGCAGGAGATACTGCCCCCTGAGAACTGACAGAGCAAAAGGGGAACGGTGCAACTGTGGAAACACCACGTAACACCACGTGACCTCTAACACGGCACAGGGTCACATGGCCATCCTCTCTAGGAAGCACGTCCCAGGGTCACCACTAGACATACTCTTTTCAGGGCTGAGGCAGGGCTCTGCCTTGTCTCCCTGAAGGAGCACCAGAGTAATGGGGAAGGGGCTGGGCCAGGTCAGCTGCCAGCAACCCTCTTCTTCACACAGCCCCGACTGTGGGCCCAGCAATGTCTCCCACTCCTGCACCCACCCCTGCCCAGGACCGTTGGCAATAAGGGCTCCTAGGGGAGGGCCTGGGCAAAGAAAGGCCAAGTGAGAGGGCCTGGGACATGAGGGGCCAGGAACGCCACCCAGAAGTCAGGGACTAAAGGTCCATCTGCCGAGTCCCCGGATGGGGGCCTGAGAATTCTGGTGAAGTCAGTAAGAGAGCAGAGGGCCTGGCCTCCATGCACTGATCCAAGCCCCATGAAAGGAAGGAAATGTGTTGGACAAACTGGGTGGTTTAGGTCAGCTGTCCCCAAGCTTTTTGGCAGTAGGAACCAGTTTTTCCATGGACAGGTAAGAGGGAGCTCAGGCAAGCTTCCTTTGGGGATGGTCCCTAACAGGCCACGGACTGGTACTAGTCCGTATCCCAGGAGTTGGGGACCCTTGGTTTGGGTTGTTCGTGAGAGCCATCATGAGGCTACAAATGGGTGCTAGGTTCCCTCTGCTCTCCCAGGACTTGCCCAGACCTGCTGATAGGAACCCTGGGGGTGTTAACAACAGGTGGTAGACAAACCTGAGATAATTAAAGGAGTGAGCAGGGTGGCTGAGATCTTGGGGCCCAACAGGGACAAGGGAGGGTCTCGGCCCACCACTGAAGTCAAGGGGTGCCATGACCAAGCCCCAAGCTCTGCTTACACTAGTAGGTGTGCAACAGATGTGTATTGACAGAGACTAAATGAATGAACGAATAACAATGAATGCACACTGAGTTTTCCTTAAGATCTCAAAAAAGTGTGCCGAGAAAACGAGAGTCTGAAAGTGAGGAGTCAAAGCCCAGGGACATAACTATTTACGGTGAGGAAAACCGAGAGCCAAGGCCCCTCAGAGACGAGGACGTGCCCCTCAGGGCAGACGTTACTGATGCCATGTGCCCCTACCTTGGGCACGTGGCCCTGAGCCCAGTTTTCTGCTCAGACATGTCTAACACTGGGCTTTGAGGAAGAGGCGGGTGAAACCACAGGGAAAGCAGCACAGAAGAACCAGAGAAGCAGAATCTCTAGGTCAGCACTGTCTGATACAACAGCCAACTAGCCACATGTAGCTATTTTAGTTCAAATTTGAGCTGATTAAAATGAAATAAAATTAAATACTCACTTACTCTAGCCACACACTTCTAGAGCTCAACAGCCACTATCTGACTCACGGCTACCACTGTAGCCCGTACATGGAGCACACCCATCACTAGGAAGGTACTGTGGGAAAATACTGTCTAGGTGAACAATGAGCAGGTTTTAAGACTTGGAAAGCTGGGAGATGATGGCAGGACCGACCCCATCTCTGACATCCAGGGGCCTCGGGAAGTGGTCGCCCCATACAAATGCCAGCCCTTACCCAAGGCCAGCCCATTTCGCTTCTGCAGGACATCCCGGTGGAGACTCTGCTGCGGGTGGTCCAGCCGCCCCCACTCCTCCCGGGAGAGGTACAGAGCCACATCCTCAAAGGTCACTGGCATCTGAAACAACACAAAATGCCTACTCTGCAGGACAAGCCACGACATGGTGGAGGGGCCTATTGGTGCCAAGTTGAGGCCAAGATGAAATCCTGACTCCTAACCTGCTGCCCGGGTCTGTGGGTGAAGCAGGAGTTGCCCAAGGATGGCTTTTGGGGACAATAAGGCGACTGTGTACAGCAGAAGACAGGAGACAAAAACAAGAGGCCTTCTTTTCTGACACCACAGCCAAAGCTCAGGCTCTCCAGCACATTCCCCTCTGGCCCTGGCCCTTGGGTCCATCCCTGAGATCCAGAGGATGACTCGGTCAGACACTGTCCCTCCATGCCCTTATATTCCCCTCCCAGCCTTGGACAGGGGCACTCACCTGGGACCAGGCAGTGAGGAGCGCTGCAGCCATCTGCCGGTCTCTGGTCCTCCCCTCCTGGGAAAGCACAGGGATCTGGGGGGAGGGGAGGGCTGAGAGAGGAGAGAGGTCCTCAGGGAAGGCCACTGCATCCTCGGGGCCTGCTGCTCCCTGAGCAAGCTCATGCCTGGCACACCCACAGCTGCCTCAAACCCAACCTCGACCCCACCCAAGAAGAGGGTCAGTAGGCTCTGAGACTGTGCCAGGATGACCACCGAGAGGCAAGTGGGCAGACATCCAGGCACCTCTCCTAAACATGGCAGAAACCCCTTCCCTGCCCACCTGGGCTGTGAGCCTCCACCTCTCCCCACAGCTGCTGCCCGGGAAAGCACCTCTCTCCACATCCCTCTCCTCACCTCCACCAGGTAGAAAAAGAGCTTTCTCCTTAGAGCCCTGGCTCAGGCACCTCCAGCTCCAAGCTCCTTGAGCCCTTTCCTCCTGTGACACCCCCTCAGGGTGCAGCTCTTGCATCTCTGTTTTAATGTAGGGTGACTCCTGAGTGGCTCCAAAAGGCACCATGTCCTTTGACTCGGAAAGCTCTTCTTGACAAGGATGCCCCTGACCTGGAACCTAGGAACAGCAGCCCTTGTTAATCCTGAGATGGAGGCTGGAGAAGCTCCACATCCTCCGCAGCCTGGAGTCCCTGCACGGACAGATGCCGAGTGTGGACGAACACACGACCACATATTAAACACACTTGAGGGACCAGCCTTACTTCCTTCTCACGACGCCAGGCACCTGTGCATCTCCTGCTCACCCGCGAAAGGGAAGGAAGGCAGGCCTGTGAAGACCCTGCAAGGTGCAAGCTGGCCAAGTGCCCACAGGGTGGCTGCCTGTTTCAGTTCGAGCCTTGCACCCCTAACAGCAGTGTGGTTATTATTTTTAATATACGAAGAAACTGAGTGCAGAGGGTTGAAAATCCAATGACTGGTATTTTTATACAAAGAGGACGCAGAACGTGAAGGAGGCCATGCAAAGACAGAAGCAGAGACTGGAGAGATGTCATCATAAGCCAAGGACACCTGAAGCCCCGGCCGCTGGAAGAGGCCGGAACAATCCTACCCGGAGCCTTGGGCAGGAGCCCTGCCGACACCCTGATTTTGGGTTTCTAGCCTCCAGAACTGTGAGAGAATAAATTCTGGTTGTTGTTTTAATATTTTATTTATTTGTTTTTAGAGAGAGGGGAAGGGAGGGAAAAAGAGTGGGAGAGAAGCATCAATGTGTGGTTGCCTCTCATGTGTCCCCTACTGGGGACCTGGCCTGCAACCCAGGCATGTGCCCTGACTGGGAATCGAACCAGCGACCCTTTGCTTCACAGGCCTGTGCTCAATCCACTGAGCTACAGCAGCCAGGCCAAATTCTGGTTGTTTTAAGCCAAGTTTGTGACCCTTTGTTATGGTAGCCCCAGGGAACTAATATACCCAGGCTCAGAGATTGGACAAGGGCCCAAGATCACGGAGTGGCTCAGCCAGGATTTGTATGAAGTGTATCTGACTCCCGAGTCATCCATAAGGCCACCATGTCTTTAAGGTGACAGGGAGGCATCATGTGGCCTTGGGCATATCTGGCCTGACTCAATTTGGTCGGAGCAGCTGGAGTTTTTTAGTTTGGAGAAAAAAGCCCGACAGTGCCCCAGGTGTGCCAAAGCCTGATGCCCACCTGGTGTGGAAGGAGAGCTCCTCTCCAGCTCACCCCCTTCGGCACCACCCCGCCCAGTGGGGCTTCAGGGCCCTCTCCACTCCGCCCCCCTCATCACACCAACACCAGCCCAGTGCTCTGGAAGAAGAAGGAGCAGGCTTTAGTCGGGTGACCGGGGCTCAAGCCCAGAGCTGTTCCTCACTAGCCATTTGACCCGGAGCAGGCAGGCACTGTGTCAACCCAAACTTCAGGAGCTCTGGTTAAGTCACTTCCCGTCTACTGGGAGGCCCTCGGTGAAACTTCACTGTCATCCACTGCATGGGACTGGCCAGCCTTCTGCGGGAACTCATGCCTATCCCTCCTGTCCCCCCCCCCACCTCCCTCTGTGTCAGGGTCTCAAGGGCAAGAGCACAGGGCAGGAGTCAGAGTGCCTGAGAGCCACGGGGATAAGGCAGGCTCCAAGATCCAGCTGCTCCACTTTCCACACAGACGATGCAGGACAGAGCTGCCTGCCCCAGAAAGTTCTGGATAAACACAGAAGAACAGTGCCTGTAGTTATTGTTATTACTCTACTGTGTGAGCTGACAAAACCCAATGTCAGCAGAGAGTGTTACAGACGTGTGAGCCCCGTGGGTTTTACAAAGGCATTTTGGAAAGGAAACCAAACCACAGTAACAATTCTTTGTGCTTCTATGGTAGGAAAAACAAAGCTAATACTTGATTTGTGCGTGTACTTCCGACCACCAGAATTACTGGGTGAGGGGGCACAGGCCTCTCTGACCTGGGTTCCGGCTGTCGTGGGTGTTCTTGTATTATGTGTCACAGTACCGGTCTCCTGCAGGCTGATGAACTGCTTACAGAGGACTCTCGTGCCCACTATTTCCTGAGCTTCCCAACCACCTGCATGACACAGTTGGAATGACAGGTACACGATCCACATTTTACAGATCATACTACTGGTTCCCAGAGGCCAGAGTACTTGCCCAAAGTCACACACCTGGCTGCAACTGACTCATATTCTTCTGATTCCAAGTCTGGTGACTCCGGTCTCCCCAAAGGTTGTAATTACACACACAGACACACACAACATGCACAGGAAGGCCTAGATGCTCAGAGCCAGAGAGAAGGGGTCCCAGGCCACTGACAGTATGTGTGGGTGGTGGGCGAGGGGAGGCTGAGGCTTCTCTGTGTGCTCTGGGTGCTGTTCAGGCAGCTGGCCTCACCGGTGGGACCCCTACAGAGCCCAACTGCTACCTCATGTGGCCTGTGGTCTGCTGACGGAATGCACCAGGCCAAGCAACAGGGTTCTGCAGAAGTCAATTCCCATGTGAAAGGTATTTCCCATCATACCGCCCCCTCTTCATTTCCCACTTCACACCCATCCACCAGCCTTGCGCCCCAGTGAGTCTAATTCTTCCACTGGCCCAGATGCCTTGATGTGAAGATCCCATCCAACTCCAGTGTTTTCCAGAGCACACCTCCCTTACCTGGCACCATGTCCATACCTCTCGGGCTCTCTCTTTGTCCTGTGGAGCCTGCGTGCTTCCACAGTCTGCAGACATTTTCTATCTCAGAGCTACAAAGCACAGCTGGGTCGTTTCTCCTTCTGTTGGCCAAGCCCCCTCCAGCTTCTGGCCAGGAGCCTGGAAGAGCAGAAGAAAATCAGCTAGTGCCTCCTGGACACCTCTGAAGTGCCCCCAAAATCCCATGTAGGGCCAGATTCATCCCTATTCCCAATTAAAAGTAAAGTCTCCTGCTTGGCTGGTGTGGCTCAGTGGATTGAGTGTGGGCCTGTGAACCAAAGGATCACTGCTTCAATTCCCAGTCAGGGCACATGGCTGGGTTGTGAGCCAGTTCCCCAGTGGTGGCACTGCAAGAGGCAGCCACACATTGTCGTTTCTCTCCCTCTCTTCCCCCTTCTCTAAAAATAAATAAATGGAATCTTTAAAAAACAAAAGCCTCCTTGATGCCATCCAGTGGCCTCCCTCTCTGTCTTGGGGGCCCTCATTTCTACAGAATGCTATTTTGTGTCATTCCCTTTATCATTGAAACAAAAGCCCTGCATCTCAGAGCCATCAGCTCAGGGAAAGTCAGAGCTGACTGGGAATCTGTATCCCCTGTCATTAGAAGCCAAAAGATCTGCAGAAATCTTACAAAAACAGGTGCTGTGTGGGGCCCCCACTGCCACAGCCAGCTCAGCTGAGGAATACAGGCCCTGCCGCCCCCCTGGTCTAGGACACACATACACCCTGTGCTCCACCTGACTCAGCCCTGCCTGGGGTCCAGAAATTGAGCTGCCCACTCTCAACAACCCTCTCCGCGGCTGTAACCTCCCACCTGGGTTCGGGAGTCCATTTGGCGTCCTTCCCCTTCCCCAATATGGGTCCAGGGCCCCTTTTCTCCAAGCCCCCCACCTTTGACCCCGTTCCCTCCTGCCAGCTGGCTGCCTGCGCTGCTCTCCGGATCTATGTCCCCTTCCCAACCCCCCATCCTCACTGAGTTGGAGGTGGATGGGACACCTCAGCCAGCGGAAAGAGGGCCCCTCCCCTGGGAAGGGATTCTCAGCAGCTTCCACCGGGGAAAAGGGAGACGGGTGGAGACGGGGATTAAGGACAACAGGAAGTCCCTCCCAGATCCCGTTCCCTACGTGGCTACAGTCCTAGAGGGTTCCTGGCTTCCACCGTTCCGGGGTTTAGGGTCCTGAGTCCAGCTGCACCTGCTCTTGGCCAGGTCACTCCAGATATGCGCTGGCAGCTCCCAATCACTTTTCCGGGCACATATTATTCATAATGCCAGCCAAGCAGGAGCGCCGATATGGGAAAATACATTTTATGGGAGGATTTTGATATTTGACATTTCAGAGAGAGCATTGCAGCCGCCCTCACAGGAAAAAGGGCACTTGCTGGGTAGAGATTTATGATGATCCTTTTCAGCACCCTTCTGGGCTTCTGAAGGTCTACAGAGTTTCTGAAGTCCATAAAGACATCCCTGGATTTTATTTAAAGCCCCCAGGCTGGTCCACAGGTCCTCTGGGTCCCCCACAAGACTGGCACAGAGTTCTCTCTCCATAAGAAACTTAGGAGAGGCCTAGATCTGTCCTGTACCTCCATGCCCTACACCTCCAAAAGATGTGCAGTCAGTTTGATTTTTCTAAAGGCCCCCTACCCCAGCTCACTCTCAAGACTAGTATTGTGAGAGTAAAGGGGTCTTAACCAACTATTATGGAGTCCCAGACCCTCAGACATCCCTGGTGGCATCATATCCACCTCCCAGTCAGGAAGGGGGTAGGGGTCAGCCCTGCAGTGAAATTCCAGGAAGGTTCATTCCTCCAGGAAACATTCCCATGCCCACTGCCTTCAGCTCATAGGAGACCTGTGAGATGCGTCCACTTCACCCAGTAAGACAGGCATGACTGGCCCCTGTACCAGCCCACAGGTATGCTGCAAGGGGTCACAAGGGTTTAATTTTTTAAAAACTTACTTTCCAACATTTAAATAATTAGAAGAATTAAAATAAAAATGGGCCCTGGCTAGTGTGGCTCAGTGGATTGGGCACAGGCCTGTGAAGCAAAGGTTCGCCGGTTCCATTCCCAGTCAGGGCACATGCCTGGGCTGCAGGCCAGGTCCCCAGTAGGGGACACATGAGAGGCAACCACACATTGATGTTTCTCTCCCACTCTTTCTCCTTCCCATCCCCTCCCTCTAAAATAAATAAAAAAAAATATTTTTAAAAATAAAAATGGATTTTCTTGAAAAATTAGAACATCTGGCAACTCTGGACCTAAATTCCCCACATTCGGGACCTGCTCTCCGATTGCCACTGCAGCATTTTGAGATTGCAACTCAACTTTTGGAGTTAAACATGTTTTAGGAGTCCTAGTATTCTGACCCATTCTATTGTCACTCTGATGAACTGACAAACCCCTAGGGGTTTCCAGGTGTTTTAATCCTCAAGGTAGAGAGAGATATACAAAGGTACAGCAAAAGTCAATATTATTTTCAAGCCAGAGAGAGCTACAAAATGAGAAAAAGCCACAGGGAGCCCTGGAAAAGATGAACTGCTTCATCTGTGAGCATTTTTCCATCGAGGAGGAGCACAGCCAGTGTCCACAGAAGGGGCCTTGCTCCTGAGATGGATCATTTCAACCCAAGGCAGTCCCAGGAGTGCACCAAGTCCCAAAATGAGTGGGTGTGCCCTGATTCCTGGGCAGAAGTTTCTCTACCAGACAAAAGAGACACTTCGGGGATATTGAGGAAGCCCAGAGATTTGGATCCCATCAGGGAATCGCCTAAACTAGATCAAATGAAGTCTTAACATTTAACTGTTCAAAAATTATTTATTGAGCACCTGCTATATGACTGACATTAACCCCTTCTTGGAAATGAGAGGAAACCCTTCCAGGGCTGGCTCTAGGACTGAGCAGGTCTAGAAGGAAATGCTCTCACATTTGCTGCATGGGAACTTCTATCCCTGAAAGAGTTCATAAAGGCACCCAGGCAGGGTGATTAAATAAGTAATGTAGAGAGCAGAACCTAAATGCATCCAGCACCCAGGCAGTACCACAAATGACCGGTTCTTTGGTTTAAGACCAGAGTAGGGAGGGACTTCAGAGGCCTCAAAAAACCATATTTTGTTTAAATAGGGCAGTTGGGGCCTGGTATTGCAACACTGGAGGACTTTTCAAGAGAAACCCAAAAGAATTAGATTTCTATGTGAAATCTCTTGACTTTTAAATATTGGTGACTAAATTTTTTTAACTCCATATAACTCCAGCAGAAAACACCTGCTGCATGGCTCACAAGCAATCAGTTCAGGGATGTACTCACCTCAGGAGCCTGTCACAAGGGTATCAATCATGGATGAAGGCACTTATCCAAGCGAGCTTCAGGCACGGGAAATACAAATGCCAACTCTGATATCAGGCAGCTTCATTGAGCTTGAGTAAGGAGAAAATGCTACCTTCAGGAAATAAATCATGATCTACCCTCAGAGACTGGCTTGCGAGCTAACTCAGGTCTTAAAGAGGACTTCACACACACACACACACACACACACACACACACACTAATAAAAAGTAGAAAAAAGAATAATCTGAAGTAATAAAAAACAACCTTGCATTGATTAAGGTTGCCCAGGCTGAAGACAGGGCAATGCAGATGATCTAACCTTAGGAAGCAGAGAGCACAGGAGAAAATAAAAGAATGCGGGAGAGGCCATGAAGAACAGGAATAATTGAATAAACAATAGGGAAAATGTTAACCATCGAAACAGAAAGAAAGAAAAACAGTATTAGATAGAAGGGGTTCCAGGACATTTTCTTTGAAAACGTTTTTCAAAGAAATAAAATAAGAACCCCTAAGGCTACTGGAGACCAGGATGTGACAGTGCACACGGCCGGCGGCCCTCTCACCCCTAGAGGCTTGGAGGCGACTCCGCGGCGCGGTCCCCTACTGAGAGGCGACGGATGGGACGTGTTCCGAGCCTCGGAAGGCCCCGGAAGCCAGTTCTCACAGCCGCTGCCTCCCGCCTGCCCAGCGCAGAGCACCTATGCTTGGAGCGTGTCGCCCAGGCAACGACGCTGCTCCGCCCCTCGGAGACATTGGCTGACGCCCCTACCCCGCCTCTCCACTGCACCATTTAGCCATTCTCACCTGCACGCTCCCGTCCGCGCCCCCGAGGGCCTGCACGGCCAAGTGGGGTCAACTTGGTGCCTTCTGACCGTGGAAGGTGTGCCGGCGTTTTCCATCCGGCTACCCCATTCCAACTTCCGGTTTTGTCGGCTCTCTCGCGGCACCAGCTATGGATCCCGGGTGCAGGGCTATTTGAAGGGGTGATGACCGCGAGGCGGACACTCCCAGGCTCTGGGGTCGGCCGGGGGAATTGAAGCTGTCTGCAGAGTGCGTCCGCCCGAGAGCGCTGGGCTACCGTGCTAGAGACCCGGGGCACAAATTCCACCCAGCCTCCCAGGACTAGAGTCTCCTCCCACACTCACCTATTCTGAATTTTGTTTCAAAGATTTTGTTTCAAAACTACCGTATGTCGCTGACCTGCCCCCACTCTGGGTGTCTGTGTGACACATCTTAGAATTTGCTCAAAATAAAAAAATAGAGGATAAAAACTCCATGCAGCATGTCAAAGACAAACAGCAGAACATCAGTTAAAGCGGCGGAAAGATTTTATTCAATAGCTACTTTTACCAGGGGGAAGAGCTGAGCGCCACCTAGTTTGGGCGTTTGGGAAAAGGGAGAATGAGGGAGTGAGAGAACCGGGTTCAGTAGAATCAGAGAAGAGAAAAATCACAAAAAGCCAGTCCATGTAGATGTGATTAGGCCAGGTGTGTCTGTCTGCTCGCCGTGAGATACAGAAGTCAGTGGTCTATCCCACGGAGCAGGAAGACAGAAGGCCTGTCTTTCCTGGCGAATGAATGCGTTTCAAAGAAATGACTCTCAGGTCCGTGACAGATGGCATCTGTATTGTAAAAGACATATATTCACAATTATAAGCTCTTTTTAGTAAATGCTCTAAGAAAGTGAGGTCAGGGGCCAATCATCAATCATTTAGCTAGAACAAACAATTAATTCTACTGGCAGCAGTGCAGCGTTGAGTTTTTTTTCAAGCAGGCATATTATTGGCGGCGGAGGGCGGGGGGGGGGATGCGGAGGGGCGGGGCTAGGGTCATCCTGTCCTTACGCTGTTAGAAGCCAGGCCATAGTTGGGTCAAGTCTCTTAGCGCAGGTTTGGACGCAGTGATTGTGTGTCAAGAGTCGGCACTTCTCCAGTGGTGCCCTGCTGTTTTTTTAACTATGGCTTATTCCATCATAAAAGCTATATCAGTTTCTTTAACCAGGTGCCTATTTAGAATCCAGTTCTTGGTGTCCTTGCCTTGCAACTGAAACTACCCAGCAGTTATTATCATGGGGGCTTTGTTGCTTCCTAGTGGGTGAGCAAGACTGACATCTGATTTGCAAACAGGGCAGGCAGAGGGGCTGCCAACCCCAAGCTTGGCTCCTGATATCAGCCCTGATTCTGGCCTGGCAGACTCATTTTCCTGCCCTGGGCAAGCTCCAGGAGGACAGAAGTCTCCTTCCTAGACAGCAACACCGAGTGTTTCCTTCCACAGTTTTCAAGGCTGGCATTTCAGCTTCAGCCAAGCAAGCCACCTAACTTGACAGGGTAGACTGGATATGTTCCCCAAACACCCTCATCCCACCTTCTGGAAACTAAACAGCTTACAGTACAGGGAGGGCCGGGACACTGTGGAAACTAAGCTCAACAGTCACCCTGGTTGGCCCTTTGAGAATAAATTGTTACCTTTCCTTAGAGGTTGGTGCATTTTTAGAAAACTAGGACACTGCCATCATCCCAAAATACCTGTAGCAGCTGCTACCACCACCTAATACTATCTGATACCTAGTGTTCCTTAATCTTGGGTGGAGCTTCAGGCTATTTTCACTCTTGTAAGACATTGAAGCAGGTGGAAATGGGGACACTCAGAAGGCTTTCTGACCAGCTCAGCATCAGGAGGCCCCTAATGAAGGTTCCTCACAGGAGTAGATGGCAATGGCACCTAGGAACCAACCCTGTGGTCCTTTTCGGCTGATGTCTTCAGCCCTTCATCCTGCCGCAGACCCTGACCCCCACCCACCAGCCCTCAGACTCATTCCTGTATGCATAATGTCGTCTTTCACAAGAATCTTTTACATTCCGTTTACTCCATTGAGTATGAAAGAAATGTAGATATTCCATTTGTTTTTATTTTATTTCATTCTTTTAAAAATTCCGTTTATGTGACTTTTATAATGTGAAAAAAAATCAACTAATGATAAAAATCGGGACTCCTTGGAGAAATGGCTGATCCTAGGCCTGAGGCAACAAACGTACTAGATGAGCCCTGGCCTGCAAACCAAAAGGTCACTGGTTCAATTCCCAGACAGGGCACATGACTACATACCTGCATTGTGGGCCAGGTCCCCAGTTGGGCCTGTACAAGAGGCAACCAGTTGATTTGTCTCTCCCTCTCTTTCTCCCTCCCTTCCCCTCTCTCTAAGAAAGAAAGAGAGAAAGAAAGAAAGAAAGAGAGAGAGAAAGAAAAAGAAAGAAAAACTGTATGAGTTTGCAGATGGTGGAAGGGGAAGTGGTTTAAGTTCTCTAGACAACAGGTGGCAGTCTTCTAAAGATGAACATCTACATACCCCGTGACACAGTGATTCACTCCCGGGGACAAACCTAGTAGTAACTCACATGTGTGGTCACTAGAGACATACAAGAACTACTTTAAAAAAAAAGAACTACTTGATATAGCTCCAAACTAAAAACCACTCACTGTCTAGCCACGATAAATAAATAATGCAATGGGGTAAGCAACACATGGATGAACCCCCTGCTGTGGAATGAGTAAGACCAGAAGAAGAGTTCCAATTGTGTGACTTCGTTTACATAAAAGTTCAAAAACAGACCAAACAAATTGGTTGTAGATGGAAGAATAGTGATGATGGGGGAGGGGAAGTGAAGAGAAGGGGACACCAGAGGAGCCCCAGAAGTGTTGGTAAGTTTCAATTTGATCCGAATGCTGTTTAAAGGGCTGTTTTCAGTTGGTAGAAATCCATCACACTCTTCATTTTTGGTTTGTGTACATTTCTGTATGCTACATTTAAAACGTTTAAAAAAATAAAGTAAATGAGGAGAAACCAGTTCGGTCATTGCTACGGTCCAGGCAGGAGATAATGGCGATCTGGACCTGTGTGACAGCCCTGGAGGTAGAGAAACAGATTTGAAAAATATGTAGGATGTCAGACCTGTGGAACTTGGAGACTGGTAAGATGCAAGAATGAAGTAAAGTGAGGGGGGCACGAATAAATCCAAATTTCTGGTTTGAGTGACTAAATGGATTGTACTACACTTACCAAAATAGAAAATACCAGAAAAGAAGTATGTGCGATGTGAAACATTAATTCATCTACATTTAATGAGGATTTATTATGTGCTGGGCATTAGGGATACAACAATGAACTGCAACAAAGCCACTCACATGGAATTTGCATTTATTTATGTGGTTGGACAAGTTGGTTTTGAACATGGAGTCTGAGAGATTTTTATGAGACAACCAAGCAGCAATGTCAAGTGGACAGAACTGAGAGGGACACTGCTACAGAGAATGGTTCCTGGGGCCACAGAGGCTATGAAACCACCAAGGGACGTGTATGAGTTATCTCTTGCTGTGCTACAAATGATCCCAAAACACTGCAGTTTAAAACAAATACTTGTGCCCTGGCTGGTGTGGCTCAGTGGATTGAGTGCCAGCCTATGAACCAGAGGGTCACCAGTTTGATTCCCAGTCAGGGCACATGCCTGGGTTGCAGGCCAAGTCCCAGTGGGGGGCAAGCAAGAGGCAACCACACATTGATGGTTTTTAAAAATATTTTATTTATTTATTTTTAGAGAGAGGGGAAGGGAAAGAGTTGGAGAGAAATGTCAATGTGTGGTTGCCTCTCATGTGTCCCCTACTGGGGACCTGGCCTGCAACTTTAGGCATGTGCCCTGACTGGGAATTGAACCAGTGACCCTTTGCTTCACAGGCCCATTCTCAATCCACTGAGCTACACCAGCCAGGGCACACATTGATGTTTTGATGTTTCTCTTCTCTTCCTCTCTCCCTTTCTCTCTCTCTAAAAATAAGTAAATATAAAAATTAAAAATAAACCAAATATGCTACTTGTTATCTTAAGTTTTCTGCACACAACAGGGCTTAGCTAGGTGCCTCTAGATCAGGGTCAAGTTATACTCAAGTTGTCAGCTGGGGCTGTGGTCTCATCTTAAGGCTTGACTAGGGAAGGAGAACCCACATCCATTGGCCTTGATTTCTCAAAACATGGGCTCCCCACAGACATGGCTCCCCCCTGGGTGAGCAAGCAAGAGAATGAAAGTGTGCATACGAAGGCCCCCAAGAAAAACCAATCTGTTTACAACCGCATCTCAGAAGTGACACTCCAACACTAACCAGGCTGGATTCTGTTTATTAGAAGCAATAACTAAATCCAGCCCACTCTCAAGTGGAGTGGATCCCACTAGGGCGTAAATAACAACAGGTAGGAAGCACTGGGAGCTGGGAGGAAATAGAGTGCGAAGAGGTCCCCTAGGCCAGCGCCCTTGTAGGATGCCAATAGTCCATGGTCAGGCAAAGAAAGAAAGGTTGATGGAGGAGAAGAGACGCTGGAGAGGTAGAAAAAATTAAAAAAATAGAAGAGTGTGGCTTCTAAAAGTCAATAAAGTTCTAAGGAAGATGGAAGTTCAAATCCACCGAGAGGTCAAGCTGGGAACCCATGAACCACAAAGACATGGTCCATGGCTAACAGACCAGCGGGAAGGGTAGATGAAAGCCAAATAGACAAAAAAGAAGCAAGTGAATTACAGACTAACAAGTGCTGTGAAAGAAATTAGAGTGCAGAGAGAATGCTTTTTTTTTTAAGTTTTAAAAAAAATTTTTATTTATTTATTTTTCGAGAGAGGGGAAGGGAAGGAGAAAGATTGGGAGAGAAATATCAATGTATGGTTGCCTCTTATGAGTCCCCTGCTGGGAACTGGCCCACAACCCAGGCATGTGCCCTGACTGGGAATCGAACCGCGATACTCTGGTTCACAGGCCCGTGCTCAATCCACTGAGCTACGCCAGCCAGGGCTGAGAGAATGCTTTTTAAAGAGCAAACAGAAAGTGTTCCCAAGGAGACTGAAATTTAAGAATGAAGAGGAACTGGCAAAGTGGGGTTGGGAGTGAAAGCACCCATTCTAGGCCAGGACAGTGAGGTGGGATCAAATAGGCATGCTCAGGGATTGAAAGGTGGTGACTGAAATGTGGCAGGTAAAGGAAAAGAAGTTAGATGAGATCCATGGTAGGAAGGGGCCTTGGATGGGCCCCAGGTTGAGCGTTTGGGAAGAGCTTGGAGCAGCAGAGTGAAAGGAGTCAATTAAACTTCTTGCCAAAGCTACACAGCAGCAAATGGCAAGCTGAGGCTGCAGCTCAGACCTTCAAATCTTGAGACCTCCTGCCAGTGAGAGACAAGGAGACGAGAAACTTGGAGGACAGCAAATCTGCAGACACTGAAGAAAGGCCGGCACATGCCAAGGCTCACCTTGTGTTCTTGTCAATATCCCTAGCATTTCTGTCCCAAGGCTACCCTTCAGCGAGGGGACTTGGGGTGTTTCCTCAGTGAGGTGTCTGGCTGTGCCATAAACACCCCAAAATTACTCCTTCAAGATTGTGACTACCCAGAGGGAAATGTTAGGGGCACAGCTGCAGGAAAAGGTGTTATTAATGCAGTTTAGAGACACACACTTAGGCCACCGAATTAACCAGAGGCTAGCTATTCAAGGATCATAGCACTTTTAATAAGAATTTTTTTCCTAGAGTTGGAGAAGGAGTTTTCCCTTCGCCCTGAACTATTCTAAATGGGAAAATCCTATAGAAGTTGAAAAGACAGAGAAATTTGTTTTTCCTTTGAAATTTCTGAAGATGAAGACACCATCAGACAGCACTGTTGGGTCCTTTTGCTGACCTAGCTGATAAAAAAAATGCCAAGGTAACAAGGAGAATAGTTGAAGTTTACATTTTGAAAATAATTTTAGGAGCTATTGAAACACATCCCAAATAGGTAGATGAATGTTAAAAGCTCCTTGGGGACGTGTTTATCGTTTACTAAATAAAGTAACAATCCACCAACTTAACAGGCATTGTTATTGGTTCCTGGATAATACTCTGGGAGAGGAGAATGTATTTTCAAAGATCAGGAAGAATGTGGAAGGAATTAAATGTTCACTAAGCCCCCCTTTTTTCCCCCTGCAAAGTAACTTCAGTTAATAAGAGAAGTCAAAAGGAATCTCTCCTACAGGGACCTAGTCCTGCCGAGACTGCAGGCCTCATGGCGGTAGCACCTGTCCGTTCCACTCAGTCCGCGGCCCTGGGGTCGGGGACAGTGCGGGACACACATTAGGGACGCAATGAATGACTGGTGCAAGCACGTGGTGAACCGTGAGCAGGAATATTAGTCAAAGCCCATCATGGGGGCGGAGGTTTACGGACGAAGAAGGCCAAAAGTTAGTGTTGGTCTTCTCTCACTCCGGGCCTTTCTGCCTGGCTAATATTTCTGGTAGTTGGGTCAAGCAGTCTCTGCTTTTCTGACATATTTCCAGAAAAAGTGTGAGCCTGAGTGGGGGAGCTGAGGAAATCCATTAACATCGAGCCCCGAATTTTCCCGCTGCGCTCCCAGCCAGCCAGCTGCCGCAGGCTCCGCGGACAATGCGGGCCCAAAGCCTGGAGACAGGTCGGATCCTTACCAGGGCAGGTCGCGTTCCTGCAGTTCTCCTGGTTCATCCACCCCCACTCCCAGAGGTCAAGTACGTGGCCACGTCCTCGAAGGCCATAGTCATGGGGGAACAGGTAAGTTCTAGGGGCAGGAGCAGGGGCAGCAGCAATGACCGGGGTCGTCAGGACCCAGGTCAGGTTCTGAGGGAGGTGCCTCCGCCTGCCCCTCCCCTCAGCCCCGCCCAGGGGTGGGGTTTCCCAGCCCGCCCAGAGGCGGGCGGCGGCAGCCAGAGACTGGGAACTCAGCGTGAAGGATCCGCACTATGGTGGGGGTGGGGGCCTGGCTCCGGGGTGAGCGGCAAATCCTGGAGTACCTTGGACCACGCGAGGCTGCTCCTCAGCCAGTTCGTCCGTCCTGATAATGTGCCAGGCGCTAGGCTAGGCGAGGGGGACGTGGAGCACACAAGGGAAACCCCACTGTCCGCAGGGGTCTTGCGGTCCAGTGAGGCCCACACTAGACAAATAAAGAAGCCAGAGAAGCCCCGGTGCTAAGTGCAGGAAAACAGTGACCCTGCAGAAGAGCCAGACCGAGCACGGGGTCCGGCCCCTACAGGCTTGGGCCGACGGGTGGCTAGTCCCCAGTCTCTGCCCACTGTGTAGGTGGCCCCAGGTCCCCAGGACAAGTGGTGCCGTGGAGATACACCCTCCAGGCTGCCACCTGGAGCACAACCAAAAAAGCCCCTTTAGAGCAAAGAGAAAAGTTGGACTTTGTAGTTAAGAGTCAAAGGTGAGTCACTTCCCCTCCCAGGAGCCTCTGCTTTGTCATTGGTAAAGCCGGGGTCAAAAGCCACCTGGCAGCATTCTTGGGAGGATTTTAGGTGGCAGTGTTGATGGCTCCCTCCCTTCCCCCATTACGCAGTCCTATTTTCTTCTTAGCACCCAACACTGTTTTCTCCTGCGCCCTGGCGTGAGCAAGCCCCTGAGGTCAGGGCCTGTTTACTTCTGTTTCCTCAGCATGTACCACTGTGCCAAGCGCAGGGCAGATGCTTGGCAAAGATTTGTTGCATGGATGAAATGCCTGGCAAGGAGCCCAGCACACAGCAGGCATTTTAAAATGGTAGTTCTTCTCTGTTTCCCCCAACCCCCAACAAAAGTACAGGCTGGCAGACCCCCAAGGGGCATAGGACCAGTTTTCATTAGGAGGGGGGCAGGTCTTACTTGAATGGGTAGATTCATAAGCAGTCTGAGGTTGGAATCTGGATTCGCCTCTGTCTTTATTTCTCTGGCCCCGCCCTGCCTTCTCCCCCACATCCGCTCCCAAGCTGGGAGTTTAAGGGTTAACTCTAGGAGGCCCCCTCATCACCTGCATGGGACTGGGGCTGGGAACTTCCTGTTGCATTTTCCTGGAGTCCTTCCCCAGGCTTGCTCATCCTGAATCTGGTCCTGTGGGCCTCCGAGAACCCCAGCATCTCTGTCCTTGGAGAGGGGACTCTTGAGTGGTGAGTGGCAGAGAGACCTGCGGTGCAGGCTGCCAGGATAAACATAGGGGTCATAGCAGCTTGGATAGAGAATTGGGGGTGGGGTGGGGGTGAGGGTTCCAGGCCTGGAAGGGGGATTAGGTAGCTGGAGGAAAGTCGGGAGGGTGTGGGTGGTCCTTGCTGGGGGGAAGCTCAGAGCCTGCAAGATCTGTGGACCTGTGGTGGAGGGGAGGTCAGGGAGGTTGCAGGAGGTTCCTATGACGAGGGCTTGCAGTATCCACTGGAAAGGGAAAGGCAGGCTCCACATGCCCCCGGAGGACTGCCCAGCCTCACCCACTCCGCTCGCTCAGCACGAGGAGTGGAGCCCGGCCAACAAAGATAAGCCACTCCTGCCAACTGTGTCCAGGGGGAAAGGACAAGTTCTTGGCTGAGGAGTCCCCACTCTGGACTCTCCTGTTGTGTGGGTGAGTTTTATGGCAGCAAGTCTACCGTGGGCTCCAAATTCTGTTGGTCAAATATTAGAGGGTGAGTGTAGCATTTCCCCAACTTACCCTGCCCAACCCCCACAGATATGCATATTAAGGAAGCTTTTGTGTGCTGGAGAAGTGAGGTGGCGGGGCCTCGGGAGTCAACTTCCCTTGAATTTGAATTCCACTTCTTTCAAAAACCTTTTGGTGAGACCTCATCTGGAGGTTCCAGCAGCCCTGGGTACCTAGGCCCGATGACTGGAATTTGAAAAACGCTCATATTGTCTGATTCACACTATGATATTCTAGCTGAGACAAGACAAATCACACAGCGCTGGAGGGAAGCTGGTCCTTTTCTGTCTCCGAGCTTTGGCACAGCGGTCAAGATCAGCATTCTCACCTTAGAGCAAAATCTTGTCTCCACCTGGGGTGACCGTGAAGAAATTACCCCTCCTGTCTGAACATAGTCTTTGCACTTGTCAAATGGAGAAAGAATTTGCCCCGGGGTGGAATTTGCTGGGAGTGGGAGTCAGCAACCCATATAACTAAGCACTCAGAACCTCCCAGCTGTTAATGCAGGGTCCTGATTACACGTGATCAGTTCTCTAATTACTTTGCTCTTGCTACGAAAACAATGAAACAAAACCCCATTTTTTGAATATGTAGTAAAGACCTTTTCTGCACAATTTTGAATGCATTCATCAAAAATTACAACTGCGAGGCAGCCGTTATATTCTCATTTTGTTATTTCTACTAACAAACATTGAAGTCACTGCAGGCGCTGGTGAACAGTTACTGAAAGAACCAGTCTCTTCTTGAAGACCAAGGGAAGAAAAGAAACACAGTCAAACAAGGTTGTGGCACAGGGTAACACCGGCAGGGGCAGAGACAGGTGGCTGGTGTGTTGTGGAGTACCAGAAATGAGGGGCAGTGGGTTGAAGGAGCCAGAGAGGAAAGGAAAAGCCCCGTGTAGGGTCAGATGACACAGTGCAGGAAAGAATGAACGTTGGAGAGGCTGGGGGTAGACTGAGGGGCCGGGGTCCGGAGAAGTGCTGGAGGAAGGAGGGGGAAAGACTAGAGAGAAACTGGAAAGTGGGAGGGAAGCTGGGGAGATGCAGGGCTGTGGGGGAGGGGGAGGCTGGAGGGATGGGCGGGCCTGGTCAGGTGGTCGGGATACAGGCCTGAGTCTTTGTTTTAGCTTCTCTGCCCTCGCCCGCTCCTCTGAGAAGGAAAATGTAGGCCCAGGCTTCTAAAAATAGACAGGTTTTCTCTATTCTACTATTTCACACTCCACTCATCCTACCCAAAAAGGAGGTTTAGAGAATCCTCAGCCCTGTCTCCTCTGAGTCCCCTTTTAAGAGGGTTCAACAAACTGTTCAAAGGTCAGGACTAAACCCCCTTTCCCCTGGCTCCACTGACAAGGTTGGGTTACCTTCTTGGGCAAATGTTCGTACTTCTGAGTATTGGTGTCCTCGGCCGCAAAATGGGGACAGCTGTTAGCTGTGCTCGTTTGTATTATTACCTAGTAATAACGAGAAGGACGATAGCTAGCTCTTGTGCACACCCACCACGTACTCCCTTTAGGGGGTGGAAAGTGATGCTGAAGGCTTTCTTATTCCCCCACCCCGATGTCCGTAAGGAGGGGAGGTAAGTTTGGGAGAAGCTCATTTGTAGCCCTGAGGCTGGAGAGCAGGGAGGGCAGAGAGCAGTTGGGACTTGGGTTGCCATATCCATAAAATAATTCCTACCTGTGTTAAGATGTAAGTGTTCCCAAGTTCTGTAACAAAACTACAGGCCTGTTCAAAAAAAGGGTAAACCTTCTGGGTTGTGCTGAAGGATGAAACTGAGTCCTTGTGAGTATGACTGAACTTGGGGCAGCTCCCCCTTTGGTAGCTGGGCAACCCCCGAAAAAGGAAGTAGCCCTACAGAACCCTTTGGAGCTTGAGAGGAGAGGAGGAGGGGGCAGTTGTTGTCACATGGACCCAGTGCCCCCTGGTGGCCAGTTAGAAGCACTTTTTATTGCTGGCCAGACTCACAGGGATGGATTCCTCCTGGAGGGGTAGACCAAGGAAGACTATGGATTGAGCGCGAGCCTGCGAACCAGACAATCGCAGTTCGATTCCCAGTCAGGGCACATGCCTGGGTTGCAGGCCAGTTCCCAGCAGGGGATGCATGAAAGGCAACCATACATTGATGTTTCTCTCCCTCTCTCCTTCCCTTCTCCTCTAAAAGATAAATAATTTTTTTTAATCTTAAAAAAAAAGACTAGAATTTTAAAAAATCATAATAGAAAAGAAAAGGAAATGACTGCCTCTTGCCCTTAACCCAACTCCCATGGACACCCCCACTGGGGACCTCCAAAATGGGCAAGGCAACTTTGGCCTGCATTGGGGACACTGACAAATTTATGCAAGCTGTGAGCCAATCTCTCACCTGGAGACCCATCCATCAATCCCAATTCCTTGGCTTATCTTGACTTCAGTCTCTGGAGATGGGTGAGGAGGTGAGTAGACTAGAACACCAGGTTGGAGGTCAGCCCTGCATTGGTCAGCTGAGTGGCTTTGGCTTTGACTGCTTGCTGAGAGCCACTTCCAGAGCCATAAAGTGAGGGTCAGGATGTCTAGTCAAAGATCATGAGCGGGGACCCCCCAAAACTGGATTTTATTTATTAAAATATTGTGTATGTATTCTTACATGTTTAAACTTCAGTCACCTTCAAAGTGCTCTCTATTTGATGCAATACCCTATCAAGACTTTTTCCCACTGCTCAGAACAGTTTTTAAACTCGGATTTTGATGCCTTTTAGTGCTTTGCCATTTTTTTTCACCTCTTCCTCATCAGCATAATGTTTCCCTTTGAGGACTTCTTTCATCAGGGAAACAAAGTCACTCAGGCAAATAGGGAGGGTGGGGCATGGGGGTCATGCCATTTTTGGTCAAAATTGCTGAACACTCAGGGTGGTGTAGGCAGGTGCACTTGTAAATCATCCATCACAAAATGGGCAAACTCGTTGAGAGTCTTCAGAAAAACTCACTGATGCTGAAGACAGCCTCTCACAGAAACACAAGCCTGTACTACAAGGGGCCCACCCTCCAGGAGATAATGCCAGTTTTGGGGGTCCCCCCTCATAAGCATAAGCTTTCCCCCTAGCTGTTCATCCTTAAAAAATTTAAACTTCCAGACAAGTTGGAAGAGCAAGTGCTGTAATTTTGCATGTTGGTCTGTCAATATGGCTGAACCTTCGTGCCCCTTCACTCCCAAACCCTTCAACATCTAACAATAAAGACATTCCTGACATGCCACAAAACTGAAATCCCATCTCAGAAATTCATTTCCATTGTCCTCTAAGTGCCCTATGATCAAATTTTCCCAACTGACCCCAAAAATATCTTTGAGAGCCTCTTAAAAATCAGGATCCCGTGGAGTTTCATGCCTTTGGTTGTAAGGGGTGCTGGTCTCTAGAGCAGAGCGCCCCCTACAGACACTCGTTTCTTATGACGTAGACTGAAGAACCTGGGCCAGCTGCTCCGGGTCATGTCCTGTCTTTAGGATTTATGTGGTTGTTTCCTTGAGGGATCATTTGACTTGTTCTTCTCTGCAATGCCCTTTACATTGGAAGTTGGGTCCGAAGGCAGAATTGGATTGCGACGGAACGTTTTTGGTAAAGACCCATCTTCAGTGGTGCCATGTACTCCCCTTGGTGTGAGGTCAAGAGGCAGGAAAAACCAAATTGTCCTCTTTCAGGGGAAGGCCATCCTTGGTCGCTGGGGTAAAGTGAGGCGAGGTTCTAACTGCTGCAGGAGAGAACAGCAATACAGAGCTGCCCGTTTTCTCTGCCTTTCGGTGTATTGGTCCGGCTAAGCCATGACCCACAGCCAGTGAGAGAAACGGTTCCTCTGGAGGCCACGTCTTTAGGCATCTGTTAACACCACAGGTGTGGGAGCAGAGAGGACGAGAGACCCAAGAGTGGGAAGAGCTGTGGTGAGGTGTCCCCCAAGGTGAAGGATGCTTGTAGAAACTGTCCCTGCTGAGCGGGAGCCAGAGCAGCTCGGAGAAGTAAAACTGGAAGAGGAAGAGGAGGAGGCTGCTAGCCCGGAGGACCCCAGGCGGCCAGAGATAAGGCTCCGACCGGAAGTGGCTCACCAGCTCTTCAGATGCTTCCAGTATCAGGAGGACATGGGGCCCCGAGCATCGCTGAGCCGGCTCCGGAAGCTCTGTAGCCACTGGCTGCAGCCAGCACTACACAGCAAGAAGCAGATCTTGGAGCTGCTGGTGCTAGAACAGTTCCTAAGCGTGCTACCCCCACACCTCCTGGCCCGGCTCCAGGGCCAGCAGCTGCGGGATGGCGAGGAAGTGGTGCTGCTGCTGGAGGGCGTCCAGAGGGAGTCCATCGACGTGGGGCCACTGGTAAGAGGGTGACAGCCAGGTGGGCTGGATAACTGGTGGGACCGACAGGGAGGGACTTGATGGCCCCATTAAGAATCACTGAAGATCCAGCCCCGGCTGGTGTAGCTCAGTGGATTGAGCACAGGCCTATGAACCAGAGGATCGTGGTTCGATTCCCAGTCAGGGCACATGCCTGGGTTGCAGGCCAGTTCCCAGGCAGGGGACGCACAAGAGGCAACCATACATTGATATTTCTCTCCCTCTCCTTCCTTTCCCCTCTAAAGATAAATTTTTTTTAAAAAAAAGAGGCACTGAACATTCCACTTTTATACCATTGCCAATTCCTTAACCTCCTAGTTCCTCCTCTGTGTGACTCCTTTGCCCTGTTTCCGCTGGGACATCAGACATGGGTTACTACCCTGTCTGTTGCCTACCATGGTACATTTTTTAAATTTTATTTATTTATCTTTAGAAAGGAAGGGAAGGAGAGAAACATCAATGTGTGGTTGCCTCTCATGAGTCCCCTGCTGGGAACTGGCCTGCAACCCAGGCATGTGCCCTGACTGGGAATCGAACCACAAACATGTGGTTCGCAGGCCCGCACTGAATCCACTGAGCTATACCAGCCAGGGCTTAACATGGTACATTTTTAACAGGATTTTAGTTTTAACACTGGCAAGAATTGTCCCCGTGCCGACATCACCTTGGAAGAACAGGGCGACCCTTCTCAGGTCTCTATCCATAGCCCCAAAAAGGAAGGGCACCCAGAAAAGCCTCCAGCCCTGGAGCCGACGAAAGGACTCCTGCCGCCCCAGCCAGGGCCCTCCGAGTCTGCAGAGCTGGGGGCCTGGAGACGCCCTGCACATTCAAAGCAGCCACTGAGCCCAGGTCCCAAGAGGACGTTTCAGGCCCTGCAAGAGAGTGGTGAGGAGGAGGGCGGGAGCTGGGAGACCAGGCGGGGAGACAGATGGGCAGCCTCTCAGGTGCTTGGCGAGAAGTAACATGTCCTCACAGCCTCATGGTGGGTAAGGCTGGCTTCTCACAGCTCTTTCTCTCCCTCCCAGGGCTGCCCGCCCCCCAGGACCGCGAGCTGTGGCCTGAGGAGAGCTCCCATGATCAGGAGCTGGCTGCTGTCCTGGTGAGTTGGGCTTTTCCTCTCACTCCAGGATGTTCTTCTGCCCCAAATGTTCACTGCCTCAGCAGTTTTAGCAAAGCCACGTCTTCCTGGATTTAAGCCTAGAAAGCTCTTTATTTCCCTCAGGTCTCAGAGCCTTGTTCCTCACTCGTTGTGGGTTTCTGCCCCTCCTTTCACAGGAGTCCCTGACCTTTGACGATGTCCCAGTGAAGAAGGCATGGCCTGTGCACCCTCTGGGTAAGAACCCCTCCCAGGGCTCACTGAAGCCTCTTTCTTTTTGGTGGGATGTGATTCCTGAACACCCAGACCCTCAAGACCCTCCAAACATTCGGCTAAAAATGGGCTATTGTGATGAAAACATATAGATATCTTCTGAAGGGGGGTGTGTGTCCAAAAAGTATCTAGCCATATAATATGAAAAATGGAGGCATTTACTAGAGAAGGTACAAGATATAAGAAACATCATATATAGAAAAATGACACCTCAGTCCCCTTCAAAGTTAGCACCTTGGGACCTTACACAAAGCTCCCAATTGCCATCAACTGCCTCTTTGTATTTTCCTGAATCTCATCAACAGTCTGAAATCTCTTCCCTTTAAAGGGTGATTTTAGTTTTGGGAAAAGGCAGAAGTTGCAGGGCACTAAATCTGGGCTGTAGGGGGCTCAGCCACCTGGGTGATTTGATGTTTCTAAAAAAAAAAACTCTGCATGAAACATAATGCATGAGCGGGCGCGTTGTCGTGATGAAGCTGCCCATCACCAGTTGCCCATAACTGCAGCCTTCTGAATCATCTGCATATTTTCTGCAGAGGGATGGTCAAGGTTAATGCAAAATTTAATCAGATTCTCTGGTCTACTTTCTTGTCATTTTGAATGCAACTGACACACAGTGCAAATGCTCACTCATCAGCATCTACCACCCCTACTAACAAGTACATTGAAGTCATCATTGCTCACAAATGCACATTCCAGTCCACCTTCCTCGGCTGCCAGGTTACATCAAATCTTATTATGTTAAGAATGGTTAGACTTTTTCTGGACAGACATCATATATATATATAGATATATATATATACACACAGACATACACAGGTGGGCAAAAGCAGTATGTGAAATCAAGTTTATTCTTGTATTATTACTTACTGTATTATTTTTCATACAAACAACTGTAAACCTGTTTCTACCCCACCCTGTACAGCTTCAAAGCCCCAGGTGTGTGGCCTAATCATCGACCTCTTTAACTCAGCTTTTAAGACCAGGTTAGCGACACTGGGGAGAGCTGACAGTCGCACAACACTGTGAATGTATCTCATGGCCCAGGATTGTGCACTGTTGAACAGTTACAGTGGTGAACTGTATGTCATTTGTTTGTTACCCCACGCCCTCTGCCAACCCACCAGCTTGAGGACAGAGTTGTGGGATCCTAGGTTTCTTTCCACTTCCAGGCAACGAGGTTCTGGTGGTTCCTGGGAGCCCTGGAATAGGCCTGACCGATCCTGACTTTGGCTTGTTTTACAGGATTTGGAAGCAGAAGCCAAGATGAGGCATTTCAAGAAGGGCCCAAAGAGGGTGCCTGGTCTGCTGCCCTCTCCGCAGAGTCTCAGGAAGGTAGTGCAGAGGTGACAGAAGAGCCCCATGCACAGTCACTTGGGCAGGGCCCTGGAGTGAGCCGCTCTCATGGAGGAGAGTCCCCTGATGGTAAGAGTGATGTTCTAGAGGCCAAAGTGGTGGGAGGGGCCTCCAAGCCGGAAGCAGAGACAAAGTTCATCTGCACAGAATGTGGGGTGAGTTTCACAAAGCTGGCCCGCCTGGAAGGGCACCAGTTGCGGTCCCACCCTGGCGCGCGGTCCTTCCCGTGCCTGTGCTGTGGGAAGACCTTCGGCCGCAACTCTATCCTCAAGCTGCACATGCGCACGCACACGGACGAGCGGCCACACGCCTGCCACCTCTGCAGCCACCGCTTCCGCCAGAGCTCACACCTGAACAAGCATCTGCAGACACACTCTGAGCCCGCCTTCTTGTGTGCTGAATGCGGCCAGGGCTTCCAGAGTCGGACCAGCCTCCTGCAGCACCTGTTGGCTCACTCCCAGGACCAAAAGGCGCCCTGTACCACGGAGACCAAGACCAAAGCGCCAGAACTGACTGTCGTCCTGTGCTCCCATTGCGGCCAAACCTTCCAGCGCCGCTCCAGCCTCAAGCGCCACCTGCGGATTCATGCCAAAGACAAGGGCCACCAGCGCTCCGAGAACTCGGACAACCTGCGCAGGAGCTCTGATGAGCGCAGGCCCTACGTGTGCAGCGACTGCGGCAAGGCTTTCCGGCGCAGTGAGCACCTGGGGGCCCACCTGCGTGTGCACACAGGCGAGCGGCCCTTCTCCTGCCAGGTCTGCAGCCGCAGATTCAGCCAGAGCTCCCAGCTGGTCTACCACCAGCGGGTGCACACGGGCGAGAAGCCCTACGGCTGCCAGCAGTGCGGGAAGCGTTTTGTGCGCCGAGCTAGCCTCGCCCGCCACCTCCTGACCCATGGTGGCCCAAGGCCCCACCGTTGCACCCAGTGCGGCAAAACCTTCAGCCAGACTCAGGACCTTGCTCGCCACCGGCGCAGCCACACTGGCGAGAAGCCCTGCCGCTGCAGCCAGTGTGGCGAAGGCTTCAGCCAGAGTGCCCACCTAGCGCGCCACCAGCGCATCCACACCGGGGAGAAGCCCCACTCCTGTGACACCTGTGGCCACCGCTTCCGCAACAGCTCCAACCTGGCCCGCCACCGCCGCAGCCACACCGGTGAGCGGCCCTACGGCTGCCAGACGTGTGGCCGGAGTTTCCGACGCAATGCCCACCTGCAGCGGCACCTGGCCACCCATGCAGGCACAGGGGATGCAGCGTCTGGGCAGGCCGAGCCCCCTCAAGAATGCCTAGAGTGTGGCAAGAGCTTCAGCCGTAGCTGCAACCTGCTGCGTCACATGCTGGTGCATACTGGAGCTAGGCCTTACTCCTGCACACAGTGTGGCCGCAGCTTCAGCCGCAATTCCCACCTGCTGCGCCATCTGAGAACCCACTCCCGGGAGACCCTGTACTAGCTTTGCTCAGCTTCCTCCAGGCCTCTACCCTGTGGGCCTCTCTCTACCTGGCCTCCTCTGCAGGAGAGGTCCCTGTACCACCACCCTTGGCCACCGCCCTCCCCCACATCCCTCCTGCTCCAGTGAACCCTGCATTAGTTCTTCCCTTCCCCTGAAGCATCTCTTTCTACCTCAGGAATGTATTTCATAACGCCCAAGTAAAACAGCCTTTAAAAAAATAAAAGATTTTGTATTTAAGCACCGATTTTTACAGAGTGTGGTATGAAGATGAACTAAATTTACAACTTAAATGGTTCATGTAAATTGTCTTCAAAATACATTACACCTAAGATGTTCATAAGATTTTACGTGCATTTGGGAAGAAATTACACAGAAGCAGAAGCAACTGCTTTTTCAATGAACCCAGCCAGTTTCACATCTCTCTTGGTCAGTCCACCACAGTCACGCAAGGGGCGGGTGTGGCCTTCGTTGTTCATATTAGACCATCCCTGGTGATTTATCGTCTCTACTTACAGGACAATTCGAGTCATGAAGCTAATGCCTGATTAAAAATGTTTAAGTAGAACTCTGTGTTGATGGCATCTCATTAAATTCCAGCCATCCAGCTGCTTTAAGGTCAAGTGTAACTTGGTTCCTCTCCTCCGCTGATGTGGCCACGCGGCTGGTGCTGCAACCTGCCAGGGCCACCAACAAGCTCTGTGTTGCCCTCAGTACCTCCATCATGGCCACTGCAGAGGCCTGTCCTAAAACAGCCTTCTCGAAAGCCGTTCTTCTTTCTTTTACATTTACCCTCATGCCATCTGCCATCTTCCCCACCATGACACACTGGTAGCTTTCTCCCTCCACCGCTCCAACACCTTCAAAGGCAGGCTGGATGGGAACAGATCTGGGGAGCATTGCCCCACCCCAGAGAGGCCCAGAGTTGTGTGTGGGAGCAGGGGTGGCCAGATGTCACAGCCAGCCATGGCTAGGGCCAAGGAATCTCACCTTGGAATTCTTTCTCTGGAGTCAACCTTAATCTGTGCTGTTCAATACAGTATCGTCTAGCCCTATGTTCCTGTTTAAATTAATTAAAATGGAATAAAACTTAAAATCCCAGATTCTGGATGATTATGGGAAACATGTTTTGGAATGTTGGTACCTTGTTCAAATGGAGAATGCTAGCAGCTGAAATGAAACCCGCCTGCTGCCAAGCTCATTGTCAGTTGGGGACCCACAACTACCCATAATCCTCTAAACCCAAAGCTGAATTGCCAGTGTGCCCGCCTTCTTCCTACCCATCAGGCATTCTTGGCCTGCACCCCCCTCCCATGGACAGTTTTGTTTTTGTGTTTGTTTCTGAGTAGAGCTGAAACTTGTACTTAAGAAGAGTTAAAGTACATCATATATTAATCAGCTACTAGAACTTAATATCTTTTACTTTGGTGTTACAATACTGCTAGTTCTCACTCTCATTTCTTTTTTAAGATCTGATTTATTTATTTTTAGAGAGAGGAGAAGGTAGGGAAACATCATTATGAGAAACATTGATAGGTCGCCTCTTACCTGCCCCAGCCACAACCCAGGCCTGTGCCCCAACTGGAAATCAAACCAGGGAGGGGCCTTTCACCTTGTGGAACAATGCACAACCCACACAGACACACTGGTCAGGGCCCGATAGTCTTCTCTTAATCAGGAATAAAGCCAAAAATAGAAAGGGAATATATTTGATCAAAAGAGAGACAATGGGATAAATGTCTACTTGTGACCAGAAGTGTCCAAGGCAGCGATTTTCGAACACTGCCACAGGAAGCATTCTGGTGCCCCACAAGGATTTTTAGAACATGCACTACCTGACCCTCTTGTCCCTTAGATTGTCACATAAAAAAAATGACAACAGTCAATACAATAGCCATTCGATGTGAATGAATAAAAATTATACCTGCGTTTTTTGTCAAATGGGCAAAAAATATAGTATATTTTTTGGTGTGCTGCAGAATTTTATTTATTTATTTTTTACTTTTTTTATTTATTTATCTTTAGAGGGGAAGGAAAGGAGAGAGCGAGAGAAACATCAATGTATGGTTGCCTTTCATGCGTCCCCTGCTGGGAATTGGCCTGCAGGGAACTGGCCTGCAACCCAGGAATGTGCCCTGACTGGGAATCGAACCGCGATTGTCTGGTTCGCAGGCCCGCGCTCAATCCACTGAGCTACACCAGCCAGGGCAAGAATTTTAGTAATTAGTTTATGTGTGCCATGAGATGAAAAAGGTTGAAAATCGCTGGTCTAAGGGGAAAAAATTAAAGGCATGATGCAGAGAGAATTGAGGATGAGAATTCAATTCACGAACTTGATGATAATGCGAGAGGGGAGAACAAAATGAAGTCAGTTCTGTATTGATAACAGGAATTAAAAGCAAAAAATAATCTTAAAGAAAAAAACACCCAAAATATTGACATGGCTTTATCTTTGCCTTAGATACGGACTCAAGACTAACTACTAACATGGTAAGGAATATGGCTTTTGTGGGCATTGCATTCCTAATGGTCAAAGTGAAAGCTCTGGACTGGACTAGGGACGTCCAACGCAGCCCCCTTCCTTCAGCCTTCCTTTCTAGCACCCGGGCGAGCAGCAGGTCCAGGGAACCCCTTGCTGAGACTACAGTCGGTGCCCCTTCTGCACGTAGCCAGGCGGCCACTGCCCACCGGCCCCTTTATTGCTCAGACTGGAACCCGTTTGCTTTTAGTTTGATACAGTACACGCCCTCCAGGGATAGAGGGCTGCATTCATACAACAGGTGTACTCAATTAGTATAATTTTAAAATGTTTCATTTGGAAATGTCTTACCTTTTTTGAAAAGAAATACAAATGCTAGTAGGATCCAAAGAAATCACTTCAATTTGCATTACAGTCAAAGATAAATTCTTAATTAGATCATATGGTTAGCATTATCAATTCAAAGTTAATACCTACAGAAACCCTACAGTCACACTACGAGTTAGTCATCTGTTCTTTGTAATACACATGACACAGTGGTGTATTTCCACACAATTTACTTAGGTTTAGGCAACACTTTTCAAATAATTGAACATTACCAATATCTACAACTAATCAGGATATACAAATATATTGGATAATACATACTTTACAGCCTGATTTATTACTTTTAAAATGCAATCATAAACCAGGACAAACTACAAGCCCCTTGAGTGAACTCAAACATTCAAGAGCATAAGAGCATAAGAACATAAGCACGACATTAGTAACTGAGACAGGCCAGTAAGCCAGGACAAGCAGAATAGGGAGACAGACAGCTGAACAAACTGGCTCAGCAAAGAGCAATTTACAGCCAGATACAGAAGGTCACCTCCTTAGAAGTATTATCTGGGCCTCAGTTGTCTCAGCTCCAGGCCCAGAAAAGCAGCAAAGCCAGGTGGGCAATGCCAGGACCAGCTGCTGTGACTGAGGACCCCCTGCCCTCCCTCTGATGAATCACTGGAGACCATGACCCTGAAAGGGCACAACTGGAAAACTGATGAATATTCTATTGGATCTCCCCTAAGACTTCCCCTAAACTCCCAGACCAAAAAAAACTTTCAAAACAAAGAACCCAGCTCCTGCTCTCCCTCCCAGGAGCATGCCCTCTTCCTCTTCCTCCTCTTCGGCCCCCACGGGCCACATCTCCTACACTCTAAAGGACCCATGAGATATGCAGCTAGGGGAGCAATGGGCAGCAGCAGCAGCTCATCCCGGGCTAAGCCCCAAGCCTGTTTCCAAAGCCTCCTTTTCTGACTTCTCAGGGAGCTGACAGCAGCCCCGCCTAATCTCTCTCTCCTGTTGCTTCTTCAGTCCTAGGCTCTTCCTTATTTCACTGTCCCCAGCTTCAATAAATTTGCTCACAGTCACCTGCACTTGTGCTGTAAAGTCTATCCTGCTCAAAGTCCCACTCTGGCCTGGTTTCTGTCCAGGGTGGACTTTACTATACTGTTATGTAGTTCCTGCTGCTGCTCCAGAGGTAAGGAAATACATTCCTGTGGGAATGGGGTGTATTCAGGGTCCAGCCAGGTCCTGAGAGAAGCTCACACGTGGAACTGCCTACTTTCCTGCCAGCAGCTCCACAGACACGAAGACTTCTTGCATAGGTTCAACCCTACGATTTCCCCCCATGAACCATTTCCCATGGTTTATGACTAAACCATGATAGTTGTATCTGCTTCTTGGCTGACTGGACTTTGAGGCCAGCACCAGCCTCAGGTGGTTCATCATTATGCATGAAACTGAGGCCAGAAGGCTGGGGCCGGAAAGGCTACCACCTCCTTAGCCCTCAGTCATCACTCTGTGCTCACTCCGCCCCACTCAGGGGCTGTGTACACACTCGGCAGCACCAAAATTTAGAGAACAGAAGCAAAGGAGAAGCACAGGGGGCTGTGACAGGTGCCTCGTGCTCGCCTGACTGTTTTCTGACACTGAGCAAATGCGGTGTGTGCGTAACGGCCTCATTGATGTTGTTCTGGGGAGAGGAGGGCGGGTAGGCTGCAACCGGCTCCTGCCTGCTGTGGTCTGTAGTCTCCACTGTGACCCTCATCGGAGCCAAGAGCTCACCTCAATAACCTGGCCCAGGTAACTAAGCTTCGTGTTGCAATATATTCAACAGGTGGCCCAAGAGATGGGCCAAAAAGTTGGACACCCCTGTTAGGCCTAACCTGACCTATGGGGGACGGGAATCAGCTGGTTTAAATCCTCCCTGCTTCTCTCGCTTTCAGTCTTATCCCATTCTCAGCTTGCCATCTCTCCATAACTAGTCAAGCCATGTGCCCGGGGACTGGTGTCCGGCATTTCTGCTCCGCCATCATCATGCCCTGACTTTGACACCTCCCTCAGGCTCTCTGTGCACTCACCCACCACACAGGTGTGAATTTTGTCCAGTGTAAGGTATGAGCCACCCTGACGTGGCACCTTCACCATTATCGTCATCATCATAAAACCACCCCACCCAAATTATGCAGAGCATGGGAGTGCAGACATAACCCACCTGGTCTTCTCCTTTAAATTGGACAGTACCACAGAATGTGTCTGTAAGCCTGTGCAGTGAAGAGACAGAGTCGTGACCGACAGCAGGCACTGTCCCTGCTCACTGGGACTGCAGCCCACAGCCTCCGCTCCAGGCAGCACTGTGGGGCCATAAGGCTGGATAGCAACCCAAGGAGAGGCCACTAAGTGACTCAAACCATGGGGTGACCCCTCTCGACCAAGGCCATCAGCTTGGCTCTGTAGGAGACATGAAGAGATTGGCTCCTGGGGAAACATGGCAGAGACACAGAAAAGCCACAAGACAGAGAGGGGCCCATTCCTCAGGCCCAACAGACCACCCCACCCTCACCCCAGCTCGTTCAAATGCAGACTCCTGGCCCTACCCGGAGTGAAGGGTCAGGGTGAGGGCGTGAGATCTGCATCCCTAAGTTCCCTGGTTGAATCTGATAGGGAATATTGCAGAGGCACAGTTCTGGAGGCACTGATTTAGCTCCTGAATCCTGTGGAGACTGGGGAGTGAATGAGGGCCCTGGTTTCACGCACTCATCACCCAGGAATGCTGAGGAATTGGTGACCCCGGATCAAGAGTTCTCCTGCAGGCAACTACAGACACCCCAGTGTGGAGGCAGAAAGAGGTTTTTAAAAATAGAAGGGTCTCCTATTAAATGGGAACAGTGCTGGGTCTGGGGTGGTGACCTGCAATGAGGTCCAGGGGCCAATTTGTGGAAGGTCACCCTTGAGGCCACTGATGTCACCTAGGACAAGCAGCACTGCTGTCCAGGGGTGGTTTCAGAGCTGGGTCCCAGTTCCTCACCCACATGGTGCTGACTGGGACCTGGTGGAAGCAGAAGAGGGTGAGAAACTTCTGGAAAAGGAGGAGGGCTGGGGTTTAGTCTCCCAATCAGGCCTGTCCTCTAAAGCAGTGCTCCCCAATCTTTCTGGCACCAGGGACCGGTTTTATAGACGGGGGATGCCAGGATGCAGGAGCTCAGGTCAGGTGAAAAACGGGAGGCTGAGCTCAGGTGAGCTTAGCTTCACTTGCTGGCCAGCTGGAGCGGGGAGAGGGACGGGACGACAGGAGGCGGAGCACAGGAGAGCGTCACTTGCGCCTGGTTGCGGACAGGTAGTGGGGCTTGGGGGCCCCTGCTCTAAAGACCCATACAGACGTGAGCAGCTGTTGCCTGGCAGGGTGAGGGCTACAGGGCGTAAGCCCGCTGAGCTCTTGAGAAAAGCCAGCTGTTCCGGGAAAAGCACAGACCTGAGGGGGCAGCGCACGGTGGCGCCGACCATTTCTTGTGTTGGGTCCCAGAGCCAGACTTTGTCTCCCTGTCACCCATCTATGCCCAGCTGAATCCATGCTGATCCCGCCCCTGGGAACAGAGAATGAGGCTTGGCGGCAATCACAACCCCCTACAGGCCCGCGGTGGGAAACCCGGCCCCCTCGGTGTAGCGTTGTCCCCACCTCAGCAGAAGGTGACGCCCCCCACCAACAGGGGCAGAAGGGGCAGCAGGAGGGGCATCGACCGCAGCCCCGACGCCTGGTTGATCTCACACTGACAATTGCAGGGTCCTGGCTTGAGAGTCGCTTTGGGCGGCCTGGGGGAGTGAGGGTCAGCGCTTGGGGCCGGGCAGTCCAGCCATTGGGGACCCATGGGTTTGGGGGAGTCCGGCTCGGCCTTGACGCTGCCCTTGGGAAAGCGCCAGTAGTAGACGCCCTTGAAGAAGTAGGTGTCACCTGCGGAGTGGGCAGAAGCGCTGCAGGGCTGGTTCAAGTTGCCCCAAGCCCCACCCCTCTCGAGGGTTCCCCAGAATCCCCCAGGATGACCTCAAACCCCAACCCCAAGGGCCAGTAGCTTGCAGTCCCAGGGCCTCAGACCCTCCCCGCTGGCCCTCCTACCTGTGTTGCTGACGGTGACATCGTCGGGGGTATGAGGCGCCCCCTCCCACAGACTCAGGTCGCGCGGGTAGCCAGGGTCTGGACGTGCGGCCGCCTCGTCGTACCGCCAGTAGCGCTGGCCCTGGACCAGGTAGGTCTTCCCGTTCAGCGGCCACGAGAACACAGCGTCCACCTTCTCCCCTGGGGGCAGCCCCAGCTCTGCCAGCGGCCGCGCAGCGCCCTCTAGGCGCCGGTCCTGGAACACCCAAAACTCGGAGCCTGCAGGCAAGTGGTTTGTTGAGCAACTGCTCCGGTGCCCCACCCGTACCGCCTGCGCTCGCCTGCGCCCCACTCACCGCTGAAGAGGAGGATTCGGCCATCTCGGTGCCGGGCGTAGGCAGCCTGGATAACCTTCACCTGGGCAGGCAGCCCCTCCCAGAAGCGATGGAGCCGGGCAGGTCGGGGGGACACCAGCTGTCCTGAGGGTTGTAGGCGCCAGAACCAGGGGCCTGTGGAAGAAGGGATGGGCATGGGGCATGAGATGGCAAAGGTCTTGCCCCCGGCCCCGCTGAGTGTGTTGCTGGAACTTCGTACTGGGCAATAGGTTCATTTTGGAAATCAAGGGTACAGTGGTTCTAGGGTGACCGGCTGGCCCGGGGGTTACTCTCTACCACCACCCCCACCCCCCATCCTCTGGGTTTTTCCCCCGCTAAATACAAGCAGACGTTTATTTAGAAAGTCACACAGATAGAAGTGAGCTCTGGAAGAAGCAAGCCAGCTGCGCTGCTTGGGCTCAGGAGGCAAGTTACAGAGGCAAAAAAAAAAGGGTCCTTGGAACTTAGGAGAAAGAAGGCAAAGATACTGGCTTCCTGAGGAAGGGGAAGGTTCTATGGGGCTTCAGAGGGAGAGCAGGTACTGGGGAATGAAAGGGAGTGAGGAAAGGAATGTGCCAGGTGCTCAACAGAGAGAGCCACCCCGCCCCCCAATTTGAAAGTCCCTCATCCTGGGAAACCCCACAGGCCCTGTGGGCTCATGCTAAGTGGGTAGGAAGCCAACTCTGCGGGGCCAGGGAAGATCCGAAGTGACTCACCTTTAAAGAAGAAGGTTTCTCCACGGATGTTGGCTATGGCATCAAAATTGCCATCACAGCGATCAGGGACAGGCAAGGAGGGTCTGAGGAGGAAAGGAACGATCAGAAGAAAGGGGTCAGGGCTCCTTCCTGTACTTGGCCTTGGTGCCAGTGCTGTGGGGCAGGGACTCTCACCACGACCATCTCACGGAGGACACCAACCAGGGGGAGCTGGCACAAGGTCACAAAGCTGGAGGGGGACTCACCTGTCTGGGGGCAGGGCAGGGGGCAAGGGAGGAGGAGCCAGGGGTTTCCTTGTGGGCTCATCATATGGGGTTTGGGGCGCTTTCCCTGTAAAGAAAGTCGGAAAGGTGTGGGCTGCCTGACCCTGCAGCAGAGGCCGCACGACGAGAGCCACTCATGCCCCGACCCCTGGTACCGTAGAGCTGCTGCAGGCCTTCCCGGTCGTCCTGGGACAGGCGGTACTCCGTGGGATGGCCCACAGGGCCCTGGTAAAAGGGCCTCATGATAGAGTCGGGCGCAGAGGAGTGGCCCAGGCCCAGGGCATGGCCGAACTCATGAACAGCCACAGCAAACAGGTCAGTCCCCTCACCATCTGCGGAGGAAGGGAGAGTGGGCTGGAGCTGTGGCAGCCAGGTAAGGGGCAGCAAGGAAGCCCCCGGGAGCGGGGCCTGCTGGCAGACAAGAACAGCCAGGAGACCCTCCGGAGATGGCCGCAGCCTCCCTGAGTCATTCCTTCCTTCTTGTATGAATTCACTTACACAGCAAATATTTTTATTTATTAGACACTGGGATACCGGGCTAAAGTGATCCATAAAACAGGTCAGGGAAAGTGTAGGAGGAGACAGTCTGGAGAGAGAAAGGGCAAGCCTAGAGTGACGTAGGCCTGCCTACAGGAAGAGAGGGGGGAGGGCAAGAATAGTAGGGGAAATATAGAATCTAAAGAACTTGAGACACGTGGTCATAACCTAAAGGGGGGAATGGTGGGGAGGGGGTGTGCAGGGTGGAGGGGAATGAAGGGGGGCAATAGAACAACTGTAATGGCATAATCAATAAAACATATTTTTAAAAAAACCTTGGGGGAGGGGAAGGAAAAGCCTGAGGATGCATATAGCTCTCTAGAGGAAGCCCCAGCCCCTGGAGTTCCCCCCACTCCCACCTTCAGGCTGTGGTCAAAGGTTCCCACCCCCCTGCCCCCACCCACCCACTAGGAATGTTGCTGAGGACCCTTGGCCTCTGTTCCCAAGACCTCCAGAAGCCCGCTGTCCTTCCTTCCTCCCCCCTCCCCCATCTGCATCCCTGGAGTGCCCACATCCTCTCTATACCTATTTTCTCCCCCATCTCTCCCTCCCAAAGCCTCCGCCCCTCCCACCTCCCTGGGGTCCTGGCCTCTCCTCCCCACCACTGCGGCCTTCATCCATCTTCTCAGAACCCAAAGTTTCAGCATGCACTCTCTGACCACAGTCTGCTGGCCTGGGCGGCCAGCCTCACTCTCAGCCTCTCTGAACACAGAGGCCTCTTCCTTGGGGACCTAGCCCAGGCGCCAGCGTCTTCACACTCCCCATTTCTGGCCAAATACCAGCTCCTCATTCACCCACGAGCTGCCTGCTGGCTCGTTTAGTGGATGACAGGGCCACAGGAGACAGAGACAGCGGGGGGGGGGGGGGGACAGCACCTGGGAGGTATCGATTTCCCCAGATGTTGATCTATTTCATGGAACCCTCTAATTAGGGTCAACACTGTTGAAAGTGGGTTTATTGGAAATGACTTGGTGTACTGAGAAGCAACTTCCTTTCAGCCACTAAAGGCCACTGGATGAGTGTCTAAGAATAAAATGTGTGTCTAAGAGGAGCAGCAAACCCTTGTCCTCATTAACTTCTCACAAAACCTCTACCTCCTACACCATTTTACAGGCCAGGAAACCAAAGTGCAGAGAGTTCAAGTTAAACGACGGAGCTGAAACTAAGGCTGAGCACTCCCACAGTGCGCCCTGCTTTTGGCGGTGACTTCAGGTGGTCTTGGTCACACTCAAACGTACTGATGAATTTCTGTTTGTTGACTGGGTTTTCTCATTGCTCTGAGTCCTTTTTCTGAGAAACCGGAGGCAGTTTGGTGTCTTAATCAGGTACATCTCCCATACCTCACCCCCACGGCCCTGCCTGCGTTGGTTCTCCTTTGGCCACAACCCTTCCTTGTACCCTTCTCGTGCTATGTGCGCTGCAGGAAATTTGGGGCCTTAGCAGGAAGCTCCTTTGCTCTCTGGACTCCGCCCCGCCCCTAATTCTTAGATAATAAGACAGGTCATCCTATGCACCGTATCTTCAGACTATAAGACACACTCCACCCCCAAATGGGGAGGAGAACGGGGGGGGGGTGTCTTATAATCCGAATGTAGCTTTATATTTACATTAGTGAAATATTTGTTATTAAATATTTTACATTTTTGCTCAATTTTTTTTCCTATTTTCCTCCTCTAAAACTTAAGTGTCCTGTGGTCTGAAAAATACGGTGATCTGTAATTTCCTGTGCACCCAGAACAGGCAGCTTCCTCTCCCCCACGCTCACCTCCTGCCTTTTGCCCTGCTCGATTCAAGGGCCCTGCCTCACCTTCTCTATGACAAGAAAAATGCCCCATTCATCAGTCCATTTCTGCATCCATCCATGTGGCCGCCCATCCATCCCCAAACTCTATTAACTCATCCGGCGTCCCTGAACGCTCAAGATTCCCTCACCCTAAAATACCCCCTGGGCCTGCCTGCCCCACACCCCTCCCCTTCCCTGGCCAATTATTTGGTCAGTGACCTAAATTCATTCCACCTCCTCAACCCCTCTTACTCCCAACCCCACTGTGGTCTGGGTCATTTCCCCACCCACCACACTTCCGGGCACTAAGGTGACCAAATCCAAGCCCATGTAACACTGCCTCTGCTAACTACTTCCTGTTCCGCCTTTCAGATGGTTCTTTCTCTATTTCTTTCATTTACTTTCCCCTGATGCTTTCCCCTTTACTGTGGGGCTCTCCATAGCTGTGTACTTGACTTTCACATTCCACTCTCCTCCTTACCCCATACCTTACTCTCAAACCTGCCTCCAGGCCCAGCTCTGACAGCAGCTGGCAGTGAATGGAGCTCTGCTGCGTCAGGCCCTGTGCAGAGAGAGAGCTGGAGGTGAACTGCTCATTGAATCCACAGGTCCACACTACCAGGTGCTATTATTATGCCAGTTTCTCAGATGCCAAAACTGAGCACGCTGAAGTCAAGTAACTTCTACACAGAGCCAGCAGAGGATCCCAGCCTTGGGTTCTACTTCTGTGTGTGTGTGTTTTAAAGATTTTATTTACCTTTAGAGAGAGAGGAAGGAAGGGAGAAAGAGAGGGAGAGAAACATCAATGTGTGAGAGATACATCAATCTGCTGCCTCTCACACACCCCCAACTGGGGACCTGGCCCCCAACCCAGGCGTGTGCCCTGAGAATCAGACCTGAGACCTTTTAGTTCACAGGCCAGCGCTCACTCCACTGAGTCACACCAGCCAGGGCTAAGGTCATGTTCTTAAATGCTGTGTTACACAATCTCACTACTGCGGATGCTAGCTGCACCTTGTCCAAATCTCTGAGCCTGCGTGCCCATCCTCTGCTTGTCCCCTTCCCCAGAAAATGGCTCTCCCTCCCAGGCTACCTCTGCCCAGCGGGTGGCAGCTAACGGCCGATTTGGGACTAGGAGAGCTGGGAGCCCCACCCGCCGCCCACCCTGCGGCACCATTCGGGCTGCAGCCCTTCCAGGGGGTCGGGCTCCTCTGGGGCTGAGGCCACATCCTCGCCCAGCTTCTTTCCCCAGCCTCTTCTGTTTCCCTTTCCCCTCAAGGACGTGCCCCTGAGAAACTGCTTGCACAGGGATTTCCATCCGGAGCTTTGCTTCTGGGGAACCCAACCTAAGTCGAAGGAGTTCAAGCTCTAGAACAACATACCGAACCACTGCGGCACCAGCTGCACTGGTTGCCCATAAACACCACAAACACGCCCCCAATCTGAACTTGCTCCTACCTTCCCCCAGCCTGGGCTTCCCCCTCCCACATTCCCATCTGCATTAACAGGGCTTGGTCCTGCAGGGGCCAGCGCCCCACCCTCCTACACCCTTTCCCCCTAGGACCCAACAGACCCCAGTCTTGCCCGGCCCGACTAAACTTCCCTCAGAGTTACCCACTGCCCCTGTTCACCACTTCCCATCATCCCCCACCATCTCTCACCTTGACCCTGTGGCAGCTCCCTGCCTCCCTGCTCCTATCTTGTCCTGCACAGTAGCCAGTGGTCTTTCTAGAAGGCAAAACCTCACACACCTACTGCCTTCAGAGTCCTACAATCCAGACCCCTCCCTGCGCTCTCCGAGGCCCTTCGTGGTGCGACACCTCCCATCCATCCTCCGCGGTTTCCCTCCCAACGCTGGACTTTTCGCCTTCCAGCCCAAACGTCCCAGGCCATTTCTCAGTCCAGCGCTCCCATCCCTGACCACTCCTGACTACTCTGGAGTCCAGTTGCTCACTGGCTGGCCCTTCCACATTGCACCCCAGGAGAGTGTGGTTTTGTATGTCAGCGAGCACTCACAGCGTGCGCGTGTAATGAACAAAGTCACTGCTCCCAGGAAGCCTCCTTTAGCCAGAAGCCGACCCCGCCTTTCCTCCGAATACCCGCAGACTTCCCTGTTGATTTCCTGCAGTTGTGTCATCGCGTGTAGCATGTACCGACTGCCGGTAAGACAGTTTCTCTTCTGACTCAGCTGCTGGACTCTTCCCCCTGCCCCCCAAGATTTTGAAGATTTTGACTGTTTATCTTTTTTATTTTTGGACAGAGGGGGAGGGAGGGAGAAAGAGAGGGAGTGAAACATCAATGTGTGGCTGCCTCTTGCGCACCCTCTACTGGGGACCTGGCCCACAACCCAGACTTGTGCCCTGACTGGGAATCGAACCGCGATCCTTTGGTTCGCAGGCCAGCACTCAATGCACTGAGCCATACCACCCAGGGCTGTTTGTCTGTCTTTAGAGAGTGGAGAAGGAAGGGAGAAAGAGGGGGAGAAATATCGATGTGAGAGAGGAACATCGATCAGTTGCCTCCTGTACACATGCCCAGAAAAGGGGCCAAACCCGAAACCCAGGCATGTGTCCTAACCAGGAATCAAACTGGCAACCTTTCCCTTTGCGAGAGGGTGCCCAGCTGAACCACACCAGTCAGGGCTGTTGTGCCTCTTTAAGTCCTCAGCCCCAGCTCAGAGTTGAGTACCTGACAGGCCTCTGTGATGGGTAATTTTTTATGTCAACTTAGCCAGACTATGGTGCCCAGTTGCCTGGTCGAACACCAGCCTAGATGTTGCTTTGGAGGTGATTTTGTAGGTGTGATTAACATCTACAATCAGCTGATTGTAAGTAAAGCAGATTACTCTCCCTACTGGGGGGTGGGTCTCGTCTAATCAGTTGAAAGGCTTAATCACAAAAAAGATTTCCCAGAGAAAGAATTCCTGCTCCAAGACTGCAACAGAGAAATCCTGCCTGGGTTTCCAGCCAGCTGGCTTGCCCTATAAATTTTGGACTCAAGATCGCAACATCGGTTCTCATCTGAACTTCCAGCCTGTGGACCTGCCTGACAGACTTTAGACTTCCCAGTCCCACGATTCTGTGAGCCAGCTCCTTAAAATTAATTACTTTACACACATACACACACACACACACACACACACCCTATTGGTTGGTTCTGTTTCCCTGGAGAAACCCAACTGATACAGCCCCCATTGAGAAATGTAATTTAAACCTAATTCTTAAGGACGGACAGACTTCTCAGAGGTCTGGGAAGAGGACCTCTCAGAAAAAACAGAATATTGTACCTTTTGACCCAAAAGTCCAGATTTCCTCATCGTCGAAGTGAGTGTCCCCAGAGATAGAATGCTCCCCGGGGAAGAAGGCATGGGCTAGGGTCCCCCCTTGCCCGTCAAAGGGGTAACTGTCCTGGTGGTAGGCCCGGGCAAAGTCAATAAGGATGTCAGGCTCTGCTGGGCTCTGAGAATCCATCTCCTGGAATTTGAGGCCTGACTCAATACCCCACGCGGTCAAGGCATGGTGCATGAGACTCCTCACAGTCTGCTGGCTCAGCGCAGAGCTCTGGGGGAAGGACTGCACCCTGGGGAAAGAGGAGCGGGAATGAGGATGGCCAGGGAGGCAGAGACCAGGGTCCAGCAGGCAGGCCCAGGGTGGGGCGGGCAGCAAGACCTACCTCCATGTCAGAGTTCGCTTCTTCCAAACACTGCTACTCAGAGCATAGCGGCGGCGCCTGACCAGCCCCGCCACCCCCAGCACATCGGGCAGGGAGCAGCGGGGCTTATGCATGGTGGCCATTGTCACTGGGTCTGTGGGAAACGTTGGGGATGCGGGATCAGCAGGACAACGTGCCCTAATCGTGGTACCAGCTAACTTCCTACATGGGGAAACTGAAGTTCGGAGAGGTTAAGAAACTTGCCCCACTTGGATTTGAATCCAGGCAGTCTGATTCTGGAAGCCAGTCAGGCCAAATCATGACACTGTCTTTCTGGGCGGTGTCACCTTCTGCACCTGGCCCTGGAGGGACTGGCTGCCTCCAGGTGGGGCTCAGAGCTTCAGGCAGGGATCTTAGGGTCCTGCCTCCCTGAACCCTGGAAGTCGGACTCAAGAAAGGAGACCTGGGCGTGCCGTGAAAACTCCTTTCTCTAAGGCTAGAATAGAAACCCCTGGGAGGTTAGGTTACCTGCAACCTACACGGTAACTCCCAAGACCCCATCACATCTAGATGACGTCTGAGGTGCCCATGCCAGCTGGCCACATCCTCCTGGATTGGAGGGTGCCTGGAACCCCCTTTTTCCAGCTGGGCTCAATTCACAGAAGTCTCTTCATCTTCGAAGGAACATCAAACCTCATCTCATTGGTTGAGGTCACAAAGGATAACGGAGCACAGGTAGATGCCAAACACTGCTGGGCAGGGGACAGGACAGAGACCCTGCCTTCCCTCACAGCTAGCCAGGATCCCACCAGGATCCCTCTCTTCTTCCCCATTCAACCCAACAGAGGAGCCTCTCAGCCCTGCCTCCAAACTGCGCATCCCTGGAATCAACCACTTCTCATCACGCCTTCCACCCCAGTCCAGGCCATCACCAACCCTTGCCTGGACATGGAATACCTCCTTCCCGGCCTCTGTGTTCCCCACCCTCCATTCTCCATCAGCAAACAGAGGAAATGTAAAACTGCAAAACATCAAGTTGCCTCCTTCCTTCAAACCCACCCATGGTTTCTTACTATGCTTTGGAATCAAACCCAAACACCTTTCGAGCTTCCTTGCCCAAAATGCCCATCAGGCATTTGCTTAGCTCCTCGGTCCTCTCTCATCACAGGTGCACAGCCTGTGCCTGAGCCACAGGGCCTTTGCACTGGCCTGGTACACTCTTCTTCCACGTCTTCCCATGTCTGGCTCCTCTTTGTGTCCTGAGTTACTGGTGTTAGAGGAGCTCCTCTTGACTCATGACTGCATTCAGAGGACCCTGATCTGACTAGAACAGCCCCTCAATACCATTAACATTTTATCTTCTTCCAAACACCACTATTTGCTCTGGCCGGGTGGCTCAGTTGGTTGGAGCATCATCTTGTACACCGAAAGGTTGCAGGTTCAATCCCCGATCCGGGCACATACCTAGTTATGTTCTGAGCCCCGGTCAGGGCGTGTACAGGAGGCAGCCAATCGATATTTCTCTCACACACGGAATGTTTCCCTTTCTGTTTCTCTCTCCTTCCCCTTTCCTCTCTTTAAAAATCAATGAACTTATCCTTGGGGTGAGGATTTTAGAAAAAAAACTTTTTATTACTATCTTCAATTATCTTGCATGTCTCTGTTCCTGATCTCTAGAATCTATTTGTCTCTCTCTAGAATGTCAGATCCACGAGAGCAGGGACCTTATCTACTTTGTTCACTGCTGCACCGGTGGAGGTTGAAATGGCCTCTCCTGTAAGAGATTCTCCACAAATATTTATTGAAAGAGCTATGCTTGAGAACCTCTTGGGTTATGAACTGAGATCAGCATTTTCATAGCTCCCATGATTCAGGTGCATGCTGAGGTTTAAGAACAGCTGGATAATGGTCACGATGGGTGCAGAGACAGGGCTGGGAAGGGGTTGGGGGCCACCTACCGAGGATGCCAGTCTCAGGCAGCCCTGCAAACCTCTGCATCACCTTGATGGCATCCCGAAGCTTTGCAGGGTTCTGCAGCTGGGCCTGGGCTGGGTGGGGTGGCGGCAAGTAGCCATAGCGTGTCAGCCAGTCCTGGACCACAGAAGTGAACAGGTGAGTCAGGGAGGGCAGGAAGGGATGGGGTCCTGCTTTCCCTCGCCATCCTGGAAGCCTCACCTCTCACCAGTTGGGAACCCAGGGCTTCCAGCCCCAGGTGCTCGCCTGGTTTCCTCTCGAGGTCCTGGCCCTCCATCCCCGGGTTTGCCAGTCTTCATCTAGTCCTCACGCCCCCACCCTAGTCCCATTCCAGATCTTTAAATCCAGGCCCCAAACCGGACGAATGCAAGAATCCTGGTCCCCTGACCCCATCCCCAGCCACTCACTCTTCGGACATTTGAATCGGCTTCCCTCTCCCCGCCCCCCTACAATCCCAGGAGCCCGGAGACCCCGCACTCACCACGCCCAGACTCACGTCCTGCGCCGCGGGCTGCTGGGCGAGCGCAGGCAGCGGCAGCAGCTGGAGCAGCAGCGCCAAGAGCCGGAGCATGGCTCGCTCCTGCCTGGGCAGCCCCGGGGCTCGAGCGGGCCTGGCCAGAGCCGCCCTGGGGACCAGGGGGAGGAGCCCGGAGAACCAGGGTGGGGACTATCCACCCGGGGCAGGACAGGTGGGGGGGCAGGAAGCTCGGAGCGGCGGTGCGGAGCCCGGGGAGGGTCCGGGGTGGCCGGGGTCTGCGGAGCGTCGAGAGAACGCGGGAGGGGTGAGGTCCGAACTCCCGCTCCGCGGCGACAGCCCCTCCAGGTCCCGGGCTGGTCCCGTCCCTGAGCACCCGGCACGCAGCGACCGCAGGGCTCTGAAATGGCTCAGCCTTCGGGTGTCCGGGGAGAAGGTGCGAGCGGGCCAGGCGGTGGCCCCGTCCCGGTGCGGACCCAGCGACCTCGCTCCGAGCTCGGGGCGGGGCCGGGGCGGGGGGGGGGGGCGCAGAGCCCCAGCCGCCGTCGCAAGTTTCTCTTCCCAGATCCCAGCTCCGGCGCAGCTCCGGGGGCGAGGTTCGATTCTGCTTTCTCGGGCTGTGCAGCCCTGCGGGGGCAGGCGCGGCTCCGGGTCTTCCGCCCGCCCCGCCCGCTGTCCCCGGAGACCCAACGCAGGGAGGCCGGCGAAGCCCGGGGGATGCTCCAGGGTCCGGACGGCTGCACCCCCGCCCCCCCCCGTCTGAATCCCGGGTGCCCCCCAGGGTCGCTGCCGGTGCCCGGAGCGCGTCCGGGGCGGTGCCCCAGTGCGTCCCCCAGCCCCTAGCGCTGCTTCTCCGCAGGCGGGAGGCCAGGCGTCTGCAATCCAGTGCGTTCAGAACGGAGCGGGGCGGGAACGGTGCACTGTTACTAAAAGGACCCCCTTTCCCTCGCGGGTTCTCCCCCACCTACTGTGCTCGCGTCGCCCACATCCAGAGGAAAGACGTCTCTCAATGCCAGAGACTGGTGAAAAGGAAATATTTATTCAAGAGTTATATGGACTTAGAGTAATGACTTCGTGTCTTCATTAAAATACCAAAGTCCTTTAGGATACCCACAGACACACACAGTCCTTCCTTCCCCCTCTGCCCTCATCTGGGTACCGTATCTCAGGAAAAGAAGCAGAAGTCCATGATTCAGGCTCCCGGCACCGTCAGCTGGGTCGCACCAGGATCTCCAGTTAATCCAGAGCCACGTGGTACCTTCTCAGGGCCCACCAGCAAGAGTCCTTTCACCCCTTTTCCCCCAGACAAAGTCTCTCCTGCTTCCTAAGCCGCATACTTCACCCTCCTGGCATAGCTGCCACGCCTGGGTTTAAATCCCAGCGCCAATCTTCCTCTGCAGCCCCATTTCCGACTCCTCCCACAAAGTTACACTTGCCTGCATACCCTATCCTTCCAGCTTTACTGGGCTGCCACAGTGAGTCTGGGCAGGCGTGGCCCTCTGGAGTGGAGCCAATCTTCTAACCAAGCTCTCAAACAGGCGCTGTAACCAGGGGGCCTTGCCTCCCGTTGCCTCCCAGTTTCATCTTGGGTGGAAGTCACTTCCATCCCCCACCCCCCACCCCCAACAACCCCCGCCCCAAAGCAGGGCCACAGCCATTTAACATATCCATGAAACCAGTTAAACGTTATAGATATGTTAAATGACCATGCCAGAGGTTAGCTGCAAAACTGTTGCTATGCAAAATAGCTCTCAACAGCCCTGCTCCTAGTGTCCTGGACACCCTGAGTTCCGGACTCCATTAAAAATTCCTATTTGGGCCCCCCTCCTGGGCTGCACCCTGTTGCAGTAACATCCGTGAAAGAACTCAGTACCTGCTTCTTGTTCAGAGGCAGAGATTTAAGGACCCTGAGAGCCGCGCCTCCCTGCCTGCAGGGCTAGGAGGCTGGGCAGTTAGAGAAGTAACAGGAGAAATCAAAAGGGAGCTTCCTGGCGAGTGACCGGTGGGAGTGGTACAGGGCTGTCTCTGCAGCAGGACAGCCCGGGGACCCCAGGTGTTTCAGACAAAATAAAAAGCAAGCAGATAGTGAGCTAGAGATGCAAACTAAAACACTTGAGATCATGCATTAGTCCTCTGCGCTGCCATAACAAACTACCACAGACTGGGTGACACAAACAACAGAAATTACTTTCTCACAGTTCTGGAAGCTGGAAAGTCCAAGATCAAGCAGCATGTAAAGTTGGATTCTCCTGCCATTTCAAGACCTCTCTCTCAGCTTGCAGGTGGCTGCCTTCTCCGTGTCTTCACATGGTATTTCCTCTGTGCCCATGCAGCTCCGGTGCCTCTGTGTGTCCACATGTTCTCTTCTTTAACAGACACTAGTTAATCCCTGACCTGTGTGGCTCAGTGGGTTCAGCAATAGACTGAGGACTGAAGGGTGGCCGGTTAGATACGGGTAAAGGAACATGCCTGGGTGTCCTGTTGGGGACAGGTGAGAGGCAGCCAATCCTTGTGATGTTTCTCTCCCTCCCTCCCCCTCTCACCTCTGTAAAGGCCCTGTCTTCAGATGCAGTCACATTCTGAGGTCCTGGGGTGGGGGGCACAATTCAGCCTGTTACAGATCCCACACTCCTGCGTGTTTCCCCTCTCTCTTCTCACTATTGTCACACTTAAAACACTTATGACAGCAGATGTGTGGAGTTTCTTCCCTCACCAAGTAATTCTCTGGGACACCAGCTGGGTGTCCTACAGTTCATTTCTGACACCAACCAGAGTTAGCACAGACCGACAAGGTCTCAGTCCAGAAGACCAACCAACGTCCAATGCCAATTGCAGATAGTGGGTCCCATGGTACCCACAACTTCTGCTGACTTGACTACAAATTGTAGTTCTCATGACATTCATTATTTGCTAGAACAGCTCATAAAACTCAGGGAAATATAAAAGATGATACAGGTAAACAGCCAGATACATCGAGTGAAGTCCGGAAGGGCCCCTAGCAGGAGCTTCTTCCATGTAGAGTTGGTGCTCACCACCCTCCCAACATGTAAATGTGTTCAGCAACCTTGAAGCTCTCTGAACCCCAATCATGGTCTTTTGGGTGACCAGCCCCATCCAGGAGATATCAGGAGTCCACTCAGGGTCACCTCATTAGAACAAAAGACTCTCCTCTATTGACCAGAAAATTACGAGGGATTTAGGAGCACTGTGTCAGGAACTGGGGGTACAGACCAAACATTAGAACAAAAGATGCTCTCAGTGTTCTAAGCAATTAGGGAATTACAGGGGTTTTAGGAGCTCTGTGCCAGGAACCAAAGGCCAATACATATATTTTCTATTATTTCACAGCCCACCCCCACAGAACATTTACAGCAAAATTATATACGACTCAAAAGATACACATTACTAGAACCCCACACACTCATATTCATTTCAGTCCATCATTATATCATGTGAAAATGTGGCCAGAATGAGGCCACTCAGGTTTGAGGACTTCTGTTCAATCTTGTCGGGTTCGAAAAGCACAAGTGGTCTCAGCAAACACGGGTGCACCTTTTCAGGCATCTGACATAATTGTGCTGAGAGACAATATCTTTTGCTCTGAGCCACTCTCAAGGTGTTAATGTAATATTAGACTTCCCTCATTACATAAGACAATTATGCATAACTTTTCCCTTAGCTGCTATTCCTCCTCTCTGCTTATACCCAAACTCTTACAACATTGGAAGAGATGTTAGGTTTGGCTGTAGCACTGCTGGTCTAGAGTGCAGGCAGCAACAGCAACCTAGCAAGTGCCTCCCCCTCAGTCCAGTCCTGTTCACACAAGGTTACACAGATGCAGAGCCTGTGAGCTTTTACCACCAGGCATACAGCCACATTCACTGTTAACACCAGTTTTGGCAGATGTGGTGAAGGCACATCCTGCTCCATCAGGCCCTTAGGAATTCCAACATAAGGATTTAAAATACAGGGTCCAGCACAAATAATGTGCCTTCTTATTACAATTTTTTAAAAGATCTTTATGTGTTAATTTTTAAAGGGGGGAGGAAAGAGGTAGAAAAATATCAGAGTGGTTGCCTCTTGTGCACCCCCTGCTGGGCACCTGGCCTGCAACCCAGGCGAATGCCCTACACTAGGAATCCAACTGGTAACCCTTTGGTTCTCAGGCCTGCACTCAATCCACTGAGCCACACCAGCCAGGGCTACAAAATCTTTTATTACAAAATCATAAGCACGTAATTCTGTAACATAACAATATCACACTCAAGTACACCATATGACATTTTAGGTGATGTGTTCAAATTAAAACTATAAATTATTACACCCATATTGTTACCCTACCAACCACCCTTAAGCAGGCCTTACTTCTGCCGGATGCTGTGTGTTGCAACCTCTTATTTAGAAATCATTGCTGTTTCAGGCACTTGCATTTGCAGCCCTGTTTATATGACCACTGGATCATTTATGAAAAAAACTAAGGCAGTGCAGGAAAAAAAAAAAAAGAAAAAAATTGAGTTGTTATACCAGCATCCTTTCCCTTTGGAAAGAATTGCAGTGTTCAACCAGCATAATTCCCCGCTCCCTTTTCTCCAGATCCACCAGAAAAACAGAAATCTATCTAGTGGGGAAAATCCTTAAGTCCCACTCGTGTTTGTGTTGAGTATGAGCGCACACTTATGGAGGTGTGTAAACCAGCTCTTCAAGCCTTTATCTCCTTTCATTTTACACAACCAATGTTTTTCTTGCCCATTCCAATTCTCTATCAAATAAAACTCTGAGGACATCCCTCTGCACATTAGACATAATGGGTTATAAAGTGTGGTCCTTGGACTGAAGAAATGATTGGCCATAATAATTGGTGCCCTATCTTCTGCTCTGTTTCTTTTTTAAATAGCATCTGAACATTTGCATGTACCCTTGGGTAAGCAAAGCCCAGTCCAAAGTCAGTATCTGTTCTCATCAAAACCCAGTTCTAACCCCATGACCAGTCTGTGATCAGGGCCTTCCCCCCGGGAAATTGCCACATAACCACCCAAAGTCTTCACGTACACTTATGTTATGGGCCCAGGTGGCCACCTCAAGCAAGCACACAGAGATGTCTGCTTGCTGATTCTAAATCTGGAAGGGGGTTCTTCAAATGGGCATCAACATGTCCTACTTTTTTCACCCCTCAAATTCCCACAGGGAGCTCTGAAAGGTTTTTTTAGGCTCCACCAAGGAAGAAATGCCAATCAGCCACAAAGCTAGGCAGTATAGAGCTTTACTGGGGTTTGAGCACCCGGGCAAGGTTCTCCAGTCCCTAGAGCGGGGCCGGGGAAGTCAACCCCAAGCAGGGAATATGGCGGGGTTTTATTTTGGTTGGCTTCTTTGTGGGAGCTGGGGATTGGTCCCCTTTGAACAAAGCGGCAATATATCATTGGTGGCTTCCTCAGGCTCGGGTTGCTATGCGGATATCCGTTTTGACAAAGCCCACCCTTTTGGCTCTCTGATTTGAAGTCAGCTGTCTTTTCCAGGTTGTAGTTCAGCCGCCATTTTGAATTGTAGTTCAGCCGCCATTTTGTCCTGCCCCACCCATCCTGACACTCTCCACAGGGACCAAGTTTCCACTGCCCTCCTGCCTGCTCAGATGGCCAGGCCATTGGCTACTGCCCATGAGCTGATAGAAAACAAAACGTAGGGAATTTTACCACTTTTCAAGCCATCTATCACTGCTGGGAAGACAGCATGCAGTTCAGCCCACTAAGCTGATCTGTTTTTACCTTCTCTGATCAGAGCTGTAGCCTTCCAAACAGGATGTTCTCCATTCACCATGGAACTGCCGTCTACAAACCAAGCAGCTCTTTGTTGGTCTGTCAAGAGGTATTTATAGGGCACTGTTCTAAGTGACAATAGAAGCCTGGAGCTCCTCACACTGTTCAGAAGCTAATCCTAGGTGGTAAAAAAGGCTTCCTGCTGGTGAGTATCTCTTTGCGCTTCCAGCAGCATGATCCTGTATAAGCCATTTCCATTTCATTATCAAACTCTTCTGGGCCCCGCAATACCTATTAGAGCATCTCTCTAACATCACCCGAGACACTGTGAGTACTTCAGGTTTCAAGAGTATTTTATGTCCTTCGGTCATAGGAGTAACTTTAATTTATGTCTGATAGCAAGATAGTAAATGCCCCATAAATGAAAATTCTCTTGCCCAATGTCCCAGAAGTCAGCAGAAGGAGGTGTTCACGGGGTGTTGCCATTAGCCCCAGTCCACACTCCACATGGGCTATCACACAGAGAATCTCTTCCAGCTTCTGTTCCACGCTGCATGGGCTCAGACACTTGCACGGGTTCCCATTTAGCATGTCTGATTAAT